AAACTCCTGGGCTCAAGCGATGCTCCTGCCTCAGCCTCCCGAGTAGCTGGGACTACAGGCATGCGCCACCATGCCCGGCAAATTTTTTCTATATATTTTTAGTTGTCCAGCTAATTTCTTTCTATTTTTAGTAGAGATGGGGTCTCGCTCTTGCTCAGGCTGGTCTCGAACTCCTGAGCTCAAACGATCCTCCCGTGGGCGTGTGCTAAAAGTTTGAATAAACACGTGAATGAAAGACGATAGGCCTGCAGGACCTGAGTTCCGGTCCAGCTGGCACCAGTGTCCTGTGAGACCTCGGGCAGGTCTTCCTCCCAGGGCCCTGGCTTCTCTGTGGCCCGAGGCAGCTGGATTTGACTGAGGAGGGTTCTTTTGTGGTGGGGGGACTGTTTGCCCCTGGCCTGGGGATAATCTCTCCTGGATAATGGTTGCAGGGCGACCCCTCATTTCCTCTGGCTGCACAATCCCATTACGAGCCTGTCAGGATTTATGTCTGAGACCCGTCCTAAGACCATCACTAACATATGGCACCCTGGCAGATGAGCAGGAGCAGAGATTGTAAACACTGACTCATTCATTCATTCATTCCTTCACTCCTTCACTCAGCAATCTGCTAGCAAGCTGTGCCCTGGGCCAGGCCCGTGCCTGGCTCTGCCAACCCAGATGTTGAATCAGACCCCGGCCCAACCCTGGAGGCCCTTGCAGTAAACAGTCAACAAGTCAGTGCGATGGGGCCCTGGACAGAGGGAAGCGCAAGGACTGTGGGAGCCCAGAGACTGGGGCTTCACTCAGCCTGGTGGTCAGGGAAGGCTTCCTGGAGGAGGGGACCCTTAAACTGGAGCTCAATATTAGCGGTTGCTACAGCGGGAAGAGCAGGGCACTATCTGGGGAGGGGAGGAGGGTTGCTGTGCTCAGCTCCTGCTGCGAGGCCCTGTGGAGTCTAATGATAAGAGGAGCCCGGATGAGGGATTATCTGCTCTTGTTTACATGATTAAAGCCAGACAAATACTTCCTTTATCTGAAAGAATGAAAGGGCTTTGGGGAAAAATCCTTTTGGCAGCAAAGCAAAGCACAGCATTTCCTTAATTAATCTCTCTCTCACCCACGCCCCCCCCACACCCCCCCACATCTCCACAACGGCCACAGGAAGAGCGCTCCGGGCTCTGGGCTGGCCAGCTCTGGTGGGCAGAGCGCCCAGGGCAGCATGGCCAGAGGTGGGAGGAGCCGAGAGGAGAGAGACCCACAGGCCCCCTCAGCAGCTCCTGTGAGGGCAAGTCTGGGCACAGGCCCCAACCCAAGACAGCCCCAGGGTGACAGCTCTCATGGCCCCATTTTGCAGATGGGCATCCTGAGGCCCAAAGATGGGGGAGTGACTTACTTGCCTGAGGTCACATAGCCAGTTGGCAGAGCTGGAGCTAGGACCTGGGTCACCAACTCCAGCCCAGCAGTAACTCAGTGCATTCAGGAAACCCGCACGAGCTCAGTATAAGCTCCTGCTAGGGTCTGGGGACCCACGGGGAAGTCAGTCCTGTCCCTCCTTTCAGGAGCCTCAGTCTGGTGAGAGAGACAGATGAGTAAACAGTCAATGACAACCAGGGTTGTGACAGAGGCCGCCGGGAGCCAGGGGAGCCCCAGAATGGGCTCCTAACTCTGTGGGAGAGGCAGGTAGACCAGAGAGGTGACCCTGAGCTAGGTCTTGCCTGGCAGTGGGAGTCAGGCAAGCGAAGGACGAGTCCACGAGGCACCAGCACAGACCAAGGCCTTGAGGTGTGAACATGTTCAGCCTGTGAGCCTGGGCACGGGGGAGACGGCAGAGCAGAGAGGCTGGAAGGAGCCGCGGGACTGGGTTACTGGGAGAAGGGACTCCCTTGGGGCACTGTGAAGGTGTGGGCACGGCCGGAGGGGGCCAGGGTGGGCAGGCCTGGTGCCTGGCCAGGCTCTGGCCTCCCCACATGCAGATGCTGACCCACCTGATGTCCCAGCTTGATGTCCGGCCTCGCCTCCCTGGATGCCAAGACCTCCAGCCGCCTGGGCATCCTCACCGTGGCATACTACCTGTGGACCACCTTCGTGGCTGTCATCGTGGGCATCATCATGGTCTCCATCATCCACCCGGGCGGTGCAGCTCAGAAGGAGACCACGGAGCAGAGCGGGAAGCCCATCATGAGCTCGGCCGACGCCCTGCTGGACCTCATCAGGTAACCCACCACCAACATGCTGCTTGGGAAGGCCATGCCTGGCAGGGGCGCAGGCTCCACAGGCCCAGCCCTGCGCTGCCAGGAGCCCACAGAGCCACACACAGAGGGGTGCAGGGGCCACAACTGCCACGTGGAGTGGGGCTGCACCTGTCTGCGCCCACAGCCCCTGGGCTTCCCACTGGGCTCACACTGCATCTTCTGCCCAGGCTGGAAGCACCTGGAGGGCAGGTCTGCTCTGCTGCCTGCTGACTCTGAGAGCTGCTTGTGCACGCCCAGCCTGTGAGGCAGGAGGCCAGCAGTTATGGGTCCCTCCCTTTCATCATTGGTCCCCTTTTTACACATGAGAAAACGGGGCTCAAAGAGGCGACATGACTTTTTCAGGGTCATCCAGTAAGTGGTGGAGCCAGGATTCAACCCACTCCTGTCTCACTCCAAGGACAGTGCTCTTGCCCTGGGGTGCCGCACCTTAGCCACGTCAGCTCTGCTGACCACGTTTCTCGATCCTGAGTCCTACCCCCCAGGAAAGCGCTGCGGACCCAGCAACAGAGCCACCCGGGACTCCCTTTCCCAAGTCTCCCTCCAGGCCGCCCCTCCTCTCCCTCAGGCATCCACTCCCTCTGCAGTGCGCGCTCTGTGCCAGGCCCTTGCGCTGGAGGAGCAGAGTCTCACGGGAGAGAAGGACCACCAGCAGCCAGCGACAGCGTGGGGAAGCAGAGGCTGTGGGTGGGGGCGAGGTCCAAGGGCGGCAGAGCAGCAAAGCCACCGCTGTAGTCTAAGGGAGGCAGGGAGGGCACACCCAGGGAAGGCAGAAGCCCTGCACAGGTCCTGGGCTGCGAGGGCGTGGTGCGGAGGAGTCACAGCTCATTCTGCGTGACTAGAGGCGAGAGGCAGGAAGGGGTGAGAGGCAGGTGGAAATCAATGCTGGAGAATTCGGTTGGGGCCAGACCAAGGAAGGCATTGTGAACCAGGCCGAAACTTTGGTTCTACAGGCCACAAAAAATGGGTTTTAAACAGAGGAGTGGCATGATCCAAATCAGAAGGCTCACTCTGGCCACCAGAGTGGCTGTGGATGGGGGGGTGGTGAAGGCAGAGCCAGGGTCTGGGACCAGGGTGGTAGCCAGGGCCGGGGCCAGGGTTGTACCCTGGAGGGCACATTGGCAAAAGGTGGATGAGGTGTAGGGGAGGGTGGAGGAGATGGGTGTTGACTGCCCGACATGCAGGTTTCTGGCCCGAGCATCCAAGTGGACAGTGGTGTGGTCACCGAGCCACGGGATGGCCCCAGAGCAGGTGCTGGGGGAGATGTGAGCTGCTGGTTGGCCAGTGGAGAAGGAGGTGCGGAAGCCGCCAGGTAGAGGTATTAGGTGCAACCCTGGGGCAGAGGCGCTCTCTATGAGACTGGCTCTGTGGGCTCCCATAGGCCCTCTCACTTTCTAGTCAGGTGCAGATATAAGTCCAGTCTTGTCTGACATTAAAACTGCACAAACCCCGCCCTAGACTTTTGGATGTGACTTGGACGTGGAACATTGCATTGGGAAGGGGGTCCCGGTGAGTTTGCTTCTCTGTCTTGCTCCACCTGCTCCTTGCTGAGAGAGGTAAGGGGTAGGCTAGGAAGGGCCTCCTAGAGCAGGGATGGGGTGAGCTGGTGTAGGTGCTCCCTGGTTGTGTTTCTTCAGGGGTACTTTGATGGATTCTTCGGAGCCCTCCTATCTCTGGTATCTCACCTGCTATCCGTGACTCAGGTGATCCCTGTTCCCGCTGGCTGCCTACCTCACCCTCCTCAGGCCTGGCCTCTGGCCAGCGCCTCTGATGGGTGACTAACTCCCTCTGGGAGACCTCGTGGGCAGGAGCCCTTATGCAAGGTCCAAATCTGGCCCATGGGAAGCACACATATCCTTGCTGGAAGCGTAGGCCTTTCCCAGGACCTCTGGACATGAGTCAGGCACCAGCCCCTACATTCCTCAAGTCCCAGGGGACACAGGCCAAGGCCTCCGAGTGGTTCTCTTGGCTTAAAGTTAGGGAGAAGCATGAAGCATTCCTTTCCTCCCCATGGGGATAGATGCTCATCACACAGCATCTCTCCCTCTCTCTAAAGAAACTCTCACTCTCTGTATCAGTTAGTTACTGCTGTGTAACAAACCTACCTACGACCTTCGGGCTTAAAATGACAATCACAAGTCTGGAGGTCAGCTGGAAGTTTCTGCTGACTGGGACTGAGCTCACACATGTGTCTGCAGGCAGCTGGAGGCTCAACTGGGAAACAGTTGGTCTAGGGCCGTCTTGGCTGAGATGACTCAGCTGTGCTCCTGGTGATCTTTGTATACCCCAGCAGGCTGGCCTGGATTTATTTCTTGGTGGTGACAGGATTCCAGGAGAGAGCTGGCCTCAGCATTTTCTTATGAGGGAGGTAGAGGAGAAAGAGAGGAAATAAAAACATGCAAGTGTTTTTTTCAAGGCTCTGCTTTAGGCAAGTCTAGTAACATCCTCTTGGCCAAAGCAAGTCATGTGGCCACGCCCAGACTCAGGGTGGGAGGGGACCACAGTGTTACAAGGCAAAGGGAGCCCACTAATTGGGGCATCAGTGCAATCAATCCGCCACTCCCTCCATTTCTCTGGGAAAATCTCCGGCTCCCCTTCTATCCTTTGAAGCGTGTGCTGAACTCAGGATCACAAAAAGTGCTAGCGGGTTTGTTCCTATTGCGTGTTTCTCACCTGTAGGGGCTGGAAGCAGAAAGAAGCCAGCAGGGCTGTTCTGTGCAAACTCACCAGAGTGGCCACTCTTCATCCATACCAGGGCTTTGGGCACCTTCTGGACTCTGGCGCTCCCCAACTGTTTTTCCGGCCTGGAAACCTCTCATCTGAGCTCCAGGTTCTCACTGTGTGTGTCTAAGGCATCTCAAAAGTCACACGTCCACGCCGAGCTCTTGATTTTCCCCACAACTCTGCCCTCTCCTCAGCCCTCAGTCTCTCATTCACTCACACCCTGCACCCAGTTCCTCAGCAAATTCTGTCAGCTCTACCTTGAAAACCATATCCCAAACCACGGCCCTTCTGTCCCCTCTGCCACTCCTGCCATCGCTTGCCTGCTCCAGTGCCAGCCTGGCCGCTGCTTTCTCTTGGCTTCTTACGGTCTGTTCTCAGCCCTGCAGCCAGAGAGCTCCTTCCCCAAACCTGCTCGCAACCCACCACGTTCCACAAGATCGACAAGATCGTAATCTGCACGAGGCTCGTGGGCCCTCCGTGATCCCCACTGCATGCCACGCTGGCCCCGCCACTCTGACCATCTGGGTGTCATTGCATTCTCTTTGGACGGCCCTTCCTGCAGAGAGGGCACGGCTCCTCCCCTCATTCCTCGGTGTCACCTCCTCCGTGGGGCCTCCCAGGCCCTGTCACTCTATTGTCTCCTCTGGCTCCACTTTTCCTATTAGCCTTTATCACTACCCAACATTATCTCATCTATGTGTGTATTTATTTCTTTTTCTGTTACCTCCAGTGGAATATAATATGCCTGGCGAGGGCTAGATCTTTACAGATCTGTTCCCTGCTGTACACTGGAGGCTAGAACGAGCTGGCACGCAGCAGGAGCTCCGTGTTGCCGAATGCACACGTGGGCACGGGCTCATCAGCGGAGTTGGGGTCTGAAGCCCTGGGGGGAGCTGGAATGGCCCAGGGAGAATGTGCCGAGCGAGCAGGTCCCCAGCCACCCACGAGGCGGCACAGAGCCCACACAGCCCGGCAAGCAGCGGGCAGGAGACCTGGAGAGCGGGTGATCTGGAAGCCGCACTTCTAAGCTCCATTAGTTTTAGGATTTGGTGACTGTGAGTCATCATTTCTTGGAGCCTGTGATTCAGAACAGCTTTGCACGTGGTGGAAGGACTTGGTGGTGCCACCCTCTTCACCACGGCCTCCCCTGCTCGGGGCTGCGGGGCTCCGGATTGGACATACGTGTCAGAGTCAGATGTTCCACAGCCTTCCCTGCTCTCCGTCACTTTTCACGTGGTGAAAATCGATCCTTCTGCTTTGAGGCTCCCCACCCCCACCCCACTCTCCGCCCTGAGACAAACTGCTCTGCAAAGCCGGGCGTTTGGGCATCGCTGTCACCATTTCTCCGTCAGAGAGTGGGGCTGCCAGGAGAGCACGTGCTTCCTGGGCCAGGGTCCAGCTCCTAGGAGACCTGTGGTCTCATCTCTGTGCTGCCAATAGTAAGTCACTGCGTGATCCTGGGCAGGCCAGTTCCCCTCTGCAGCCTCAGTTTCCCCAGTGCCTGTCAAGGTTCCTTCTAGCTCTGCAGTGTTGAAACAAGAAGGCCCACGAGCCCGGGAGGAGGCTGCGGGGCACGAGCAGAAGCTGGCGGCGGCGTGTTCTGGGAGCTGCGGCTGGGAGGACAGAGCAGAGCAGACCGTGAAGGCCAGGTCGAGGGCTTGGCTGTGAGGCCTTAGAAGTGGGAAGCTGCTGGGTTTGGGAAGGAGGGTTGGAGCAGGCTGGAGTGGACAGGATACAGCTGGAAACATGGGGTACCCTGGGAGGGATGCAGCCACTTCCGTTCTGGTCAGCCCCCCTCTGCTAAGCTCCTGCTCTGGGCAAAGACATCATGCTGAGAGGCAGGGAGCAAATACCAGCCCCTCACCAGGCTGTCCACCCTCTCAGGACAGACAGATGAGAGGGTGCACTGGACGGCCACTCCTGATGCTCTGAGAGGCTGTGCAGCAGCTGGGGACACTGGCAGTGAGGGGACCTGGGGCCTCCCAACCCGTGCTCTGGCCCAGAGCAGGTGCCTGCCAAGTGTTGGTGACTGGACGAGAGCACAGATGACCCATCAGGGAACGGGGAACTCGGGCAGGTACGGCAAAGGAAAAGTCAGAGCAACGTGGGGGCTGCCTGCACAGGGACATGAGGCCTCACTGCACACCTCGGGTGCAAAGATACGTGTCCACACCTCAGAGATGATCCAGAGAAACACGACATGCCATGTCCCTGGATGACCCATCAAGACACGAATTCATTTCCCAGGGCTCCGAGTGGGGGCTCCGGAACACTGACGTCCGCCCACAGTGCAGACGCACAAAATAAAACTCAGGCGGCACACTAATCAGAGCTGGCCCCTTCTCTTTTTTTCCGATCTTATTAAAACACCACAGAGATTAAGTAATGACTTGGCTGTGTCTTTGGCTCCTGGTTACCCTCTCCGGGACTGGACGAGGCTCCCAGGAGCTGTGCTTGAGAAGAACAATAACCACCTTTGGGGCCTGGCTTGGGGACATGGCATTCGGGGTGAGTTTGGAACCATCACAGTGAGAACTTACGAATAGTAGGCGAGGAGGGGAGCTGAGAGGTGGATTCTGGCTCTGCCCGGAGAAACGTGCAGGGAGGCCCAGGGTGGAGTGTGTGGGTATTTGGTAGGCAACGCTGTTACTGTCTCCAGGCGCGTCCTATGCTTTATGTAGCTGCCACCAGGAGCACAGGCCTTGTGGGACTAGCAGGAAGCTTCCTGTGGGGGTCCAAAGCCAAAAGAAAATGTTGTACCTTTTCCCATTTAATAATCAAAAATGTAATTCTTGATTAAAACCTGCAGGATAAGTTCATTGATTATTAGTATGAGCACACATAGTCAGGAATTGCTTTTGGCTATGGATTAAGAAAACCTGAAGTAGCAGAGGCTTAAGTCAGGTGAAGGCTTGCATTTTCCCCTGAATAGGCAGACCGGAGGTGGGCCGCGGCGGCGCCAGGGTTCCACGCTCTGTCCCCCTGGGTGGTCCGCCACGCTTGGCACCTGGCCTTCGTCTTCAGTGTCTTGTGGTCCAGTGAAGTTGCTCATGTTCTAGCCCTTATGTCCATGTTCCAGGCAGAAAAAAGGAAATTGGAGGACAGGACCAAAGGGATCTCTGCACCCCTTCAAGAGTTTTCGAGGAAGCACCACCCGGTGACTTCCACTCACAGCTCCGTGGAACCGGGGTTTGACGGCAGGACCTGCTGGGCCCACCGCCTGGCAGGGCTCCTGTAAGGAAGGAGGAGAGAATTTAGCCGTCCTGGCCACAGCCCACAGTTTAAATTATTCTAATTTTAAAGGAAAGTGTAAAGAAATGTACATAGTACATATAAGGTCCATTTGGTTTCTTATGATCTTTGGGAAGTTCTTAGTTTTTGCTCAGGCGAAAGCAGACTTCCCTCTAAGTTTCATTAGAAAACAACCTTGCAAGTCACTTGAGCCTCCTGGGGCTGTACCCAGGAGAGATTTTCAAACACTTAACAATCAGGGCAGCATGGGCACCCCCCACCGACCCTGGGCACCGACGCCCAGGGCAGGGGAACACTCCTGGCATGCCCCCAGCACTAACCCCGGCGCTGGTGCTTCGGGTCTGCTTAATGTCAGGAGTCCTTGCAGGCAGCTACCATTCTGGTGATAGAAATCTGTTTATAACTCATGGAAAAAAGTTTTGTTTAAGCTTCTGAGATCCCAGCTCCAGAGCTCTGCTTGTCTCCCTTGTGCTAAAACTGAAATGAGTAGGAGGGTAAATTATGGGTGGGTCACAACATACTCATGACCATTCTTGCCAGTTTTTGTGCTTTGATAGCTCATTCTTGACCCTCTTCCTCCTGCCATATGCTTATGGTGAACCTGTACGTCAGCAGCAGTGAAAAAAATGACAGTTTCTGCTTCCAACAACGGCTGCTGGGTTGCAAAGTTAAGAAATGCTGCACACTTATATCCGCATATGTAACTCTGGGCATGTGTGAGCTGAGCCTTGAAAGAGACTTTCCAAGAGCAAGAGTGCGTGTGTGGGCGATGCGGGTGGAGGAGGCGGCTGAGTGTGAGGCACACGCCTGTTCCAGCAAGGGCGAGTGCACAAACACACATCTCTCTCAGCATCTCGGATTTAGGATCAATTCCTGGAAAGGCATCGTAAAGACACAGATACCAATGCTTTGGAGACTCTTGACATGAATTGCTAAATTGCTGCAGAGAAAGTTTGCTGTCAGAACCCTGTGAGGGGTGCCCATCTCACCAAATCTCCCCAGCACTGTGCATTGTCATTTAAAAGAGTGCTTTGTCAGTTTGATAAATGAAAATACCTTTACCATATTGATGACGCTGCATATCCTTTTAAAAGCTTTCTTGACCATTTACCTTTCTTGTTTTGTGAAGCGAATTGTCTGTCCTATCTTTTTTTTTGAGACAGAGTCTCACTCTCTTGCCTGGGCTAGAGTGCCGTGGCGTCAGCCTAGCTCACAGCAACCTCAAACTCCTGGGCTCAAGCGATCCTCCTGCCTCAGCCTCCCGAGTGGCTGGGACTACAGGCATGCGCCACCATGCCCGGCTAATTCTTTCTATATATTTTTAGTTGTCCAATTAATTTCTTTCTATTTTTAGTAGAGACGGGGGTCTCGCTCTTGCTCAGGCTGGTTTCGAACTCCTGAGCTCAAATAGATCCACCCGCCTCGGCCTCCCAGAGAGCTAGGATTACAGGCGTGAGCCACCGCACCCGGCCTGTCTGTCCTATTTTGCCATCATTTTCCTACTGGGGTATTAATTTTTTGTGGTCTATTTGTTTATGCAGCAAATATTCACTGAGTGCCCGATGTGTGCCAGGGGCTCCCCCAGGTGCTAGGAACAGGGCAGGGAACAAAGCAGAGGTCACCACCCCCGCAGGAGGCTGACACTCTGTGGAGAGGAGACAGACGCTGGACACAGAAGCAAGGACAAGATTTGTAAAAGCTCTTTATAGATTCAGGATGATAGCACTTGGTCCCATAGTCTCCCCAGTTTGTCATTTGCTGTATGATTTTATTTGTATTATAATCTGTCTTGGGAGCTTCTTGTTTTTTTAGCTTTTCACTTTGGCATAATTTTACGTTTACAGAAAGTTGCAGATCGTACAGGAAGACCCGTACATCCTCCACCCGCCTTCCCCTAATGTTAGCATCTTACGTGACTGTGGTACATTTGTCAAAACTCAGACATTAAATTGGTACAACGCTATTAACTCACTTACAGACCTTATTTGGATTTTACCAGTTTTCCCACTAATGTTCTTTTTTTCTGTACCAGGATCCAATGCAGGGCGCCATGTTGCACTTAGGAATTTCTAAATTTTAATGTAGTAAAATCTATTGATTTGTTACTCATTTTATTCTTACAGAGTCCTTTCATATTCTGAGAGCTGGTTAAATATCAACTTATATTTCTTCTAGCTTTTTATGGCTTCATTTTCTAAAGAATTATTTCTTTAAACCATCTGGAATTTATTTTGGCATAAGGTGTTAAATAAAGATCTAACGTTTATTTTTCCAAATAGCTGGTCAGCTGTACAGTATTCCATAATGAATCCCTCTTTTCCTCACTGATTTGTGAAGCAGCTTTTATCAGATATGAAATACTCAGATGCACTAGGTTCTGTTTCTGGCTACAGGCTCTGTTCCATTGATTGTGCCACTGACATTTGGGTCAGTATCACACTGTCTTGACAGTTACATCTTTGCAGTATGTTTTCATGTCTGGTAGGATAAGACCCCTCCAGCTTTAGCTTTATAATAAAATATTAATAAGAATAGTGATCCCACTTATGTATCACGTCCTGTGTTGGCCTCCCCAGATAGGATATGAACAACCAAGTCTCACCTTCGAGGAGGCCACTATCTCGAGGAGGTAGACAGGTCAGCCAGTGATTGCACTGCAGCCTGGTGGGGCAGAGGTGACCCACACACACAGGGAGCATGGGGCCAGCTTGGGACAGTTGGAGAGGGCTGAGCAGAGGAAGTGGTGCTTGACCCGTGATTGATTCGAGCAGGAGTTAGCCAGACAGGGAAGCAGGCCGGGCATTCCAGGCAGAGGGAACAGGGTGGACAAAGGCCAGGTGCTGAAACACACACGGCGTAGTTAGGGTGCTGTAAGTGCTGGGGGTGGGGGCCCCGGGTGTAGAGGTGAGGGGGGCTGGCTCGAGGAAGGCCTCGACTGCAGAGGGAGATGTTCAGATGACCCCAAGGACCCAAGCCTCAGAGTCCTGCTGTCCTGCGCTCTGGAATTCTTCAACTGCTGGCTCTCTTCCCAGGAACATGTTCCCAGCCAACCTCGTGGAAGCCACATTCAAACAGGTGAGTGGGTCGAGGGAGGGTAAGGGGTGGCAGATAGGAGGGGCAGGTGGGCAGGGACAGCCGGCCTGGCTGGAAAGTGACAGGGTTGCCTAGCCCGTCTCCCTTTTTTTGGGGGATGGGATGCTATAGGGGAGGTGGGGCGACCTAGATCCTTAGAGCCTCCCATGGCCACCTGGGGTCAGTTTTTCATGAAGAAAAAGTACAGGGGCGGAGGGAGGCCTCTGCTGAGTGCCTGCTTTGCTGTAGGCTCCACACGGTGCTCACACGTACACCTTCTCCCTCATCCTCACGGCAACCCTGCACTGAGTAGGATCAGCCCCATTTCCTGGATGAGGAAACTGAGGCTCGGAAGGATTAAATGACTTGCCCAGGGTTATCCCTGTAAATGACAAAGCTAGTGGGTAAACCCATGCCTGTCTGGCTTCTAAGCCCATTTTCTCTTTCTTTTTAAATAATCCTTTGTCCCACTAATAAGAATAGTAATAATGTTCACTGTAGAAAATTAGCAAAACACTAAAAAATATAAAGTAGAAAATAAAAATCATTCCAGCGTCAGTACCTAGCAATAGCAGTAGCAGATGGTATGCTTCTAGTCTTTTTTTCTCTCCATTAAATATATTTTTTAAAGTAATATTAGGATCATAGCGCATATACAGTTTGCATCTTGCTTTTTTTCACTTCCATTATACATTATATCATGAGCATTTTCCCTGGTTATTAAATGTTTCTTAAAAGTAAAATATTTAGTGGTGATGTAATAGCCTGTTGTAAGGCTGGACTGTAATTTATTTACACATTCCCCCTTTCGGTGGTCTTTTAGGATCTTTTGAAACTTTCGTTGGTTTTTGTTTGTTTGTTTGTTTTTGTTGTTGTTGTTTGAGACAGGGTCTCACTCTGTCACCCAGGCTGGAGTACAATGCTGTGATCATAGCTCACTGCAACCTCAAACTCTCAGCCTCAAGCAATCCTCCTGCCTCAGCCTCCCAAGTAGCCGGGACTACAGGCACTCACTACAATGCCTGGCTAATTTTTAAATTTTTTGTAGAGATGGGGGTCTTCCTATGTAGGCTGGTCTCAAACTCTTGGCCTCAAGTGATCCTCCTGCCTTGGCCTCCCAAAGTGCTGGGACTATAGACGTGAGCCACTGTGCCTGGCCAAAGTTTTGTCTTTTTAGACATTGTGGTATACATCCTTGTACATCAATCTTTGTCTGCACTTCTAATAATTTCCAATTCTTTTTCCCCTTCTAAAATGTTGGCTAGTTGGTTGACTCCATCCAGCAGGCATTTTTTGAACCCCTTCCCTGTGCTGTGTTGAGCCTGGGGACACAAAAGAATGGCTGAAAATTGGAGTGGAGGCTTCAAAATAAGGAACTGTGAAAGCTTCTAAAAATCATTGCATCTCTCCTAACATCTTGGGTCTTAACCTATAAAATGAGTCAGATTGTGAAGGGCCCCTGAATGTGAGGCCAGGGGGTTTGGATTTTATTCTGCTTGTGATGGGGAATTATTGAAGGTATAAGAGAGAAAGAGAGAATATCGCTCTACTTCAGATCTGTTTGGAATGCCCTTTTTCTTTTGGCAAACTCCTACATATCCTTCAAGACCCAAGTCAAATGTCCCCATCTTTGTGAAGCTGACAATTTCACGCAGAGTTAGTCATTCCTTCTCCAAGGTTCTCAGAGCAGAAATTATGTCTGGTTCATTTTTGTATCTCCAGCAACCAGCACAGAGTGTTCAATATTGGGATGATGATGATGATGATAGCAGTGATACTTATATAGGGCTTACCATGTGCCAGGAGCTGTTGTAAGCACTATATATATATATATATATATATATATACACACACACATATATATATATGTCTCATTTAATCCAATGAGGTAGAGACTATTAATATTAGGATTCCATTTTACAGATGAGGAAAATGAGGCACAGAGACTTTAGGTCCATGTATTTCCTGAGTGGTTCCTTCTTTTCCCTAGAAGGCTTAACTTATCGATACTGTGATATTTGGGACAGGAGGCCCCCTTGTTTGGGCTCCCAGTACCTGAGGAAGGAGGGGGAGAGGACCAGGAATGCCCTGGGGGCAGCTCAGTCCATCACAGTGGGACCGCACCCCATCTAGAAGCCTGGGGCAGGCCGAGCCCTTTAAGAGAAGCTCCGAGCTTCCACCCAGTGGAAGGCAGCTGGCTGCCATTAGGCGGATGGATAATGGTGCTTGGGAGGGGCCAGGTGGGTGACTGGAGGACAGACAGGTGGCTAGAGAAGGCCCAGATGGGGTGATGGTGTGTAGACAGGAGAAGGGACAAGGGCTAGAGGGAGGCAGGCCAGGCAGCACAGGACGGAGGAGGGAATCTCAGCTCCTTTTTGGTAAAATGGATGCTAAGCCCTGCCTACCTACAGGGTTGTTGCCACTCAAATAGGATTTGAGTGGATACAGAGGTGCTTTCAGGATGTGTTGTTGTTGATATTAATAACCACACTTGGCCCTGACTCCCTCCTCGCTGGGGTGTCACCCACTAGTACCGCACCAAGACCACCCCGGTCATCAAGTCCCCCAAGGTGGCACGGGACGAGACCCCTCCTCGGCGGATCCTCATCTATGGCGTCCAGGAGGAGAACGGCTCTCAAGTGCAGAACTTTGCCCTGGACCTGACGCCGCCGCCTGAAGTCGTGTACAAGGTGGAGCCTGGCACCAGCGACGGCATGAACGTGCTGGGCATCGTCATCTTCTCCGCCACCATGGGTACGTGCAGCCCCCAGCAGCGCCCTGGAGCCGCCCCTCCCGCCGCGCTGCGTCCGATTCTCTGAGTACCCGGAAGGTCGTTCTTTCCTTTCCTCTCCAGCGGGTGGCCGAGTCCCCAGCGCCCCTCGGAGCAGGTGCTGCTCCCCGGGAGTTCGGGTCCCCGGGGGGCTGAGTTGTGCCCCCAGACCCCTCCCAGCTGCCAGTTCCTGAACCTTTTACTGAGGCCTGGGGACAATGCAGGAGGGGCAGCTCACAGTAAAGAACTAAAACTACTGAACTAAAAACTAAAACTAAAGAACTAAAAACTTTATTCAAAGCCCTCATCTCCACCACCCACCCCTGCTTCTCACTGGCCCTCCTCAGACCCGTGTGCCCACTGTTGGCCTCCTGGACACACCTTCCCTTTGCGCTCTTCCCCGCGCCCCCAGGGCCCAGCCAGCCACAGGGGATTTACCGTGAGGCCACAAAGCACGACCCGGGCTCCTCGCAGGCCCCTTCTGAGGCCTGTACGTTTTTTCTGTGTTCTTTTTCCAAAAGAGACCCCCAAATGACATAAGCTTCAGACCCCACAGAACCTTTGGGTATGCCTCTGCCTGCAGCACCCCCCAACACACAAAAACCTCCTTCTTGGGGACAGCTCCCAACCTTCCAGAACAATCTAGCTTGTTTGTCCTGATGCTGTGTTTCTGGGCCATGTTGGGGGGCACTGTGAGTCTCACTCTAAAATCGGCATTGGCCTCTCCCACGGGGCCTGGGGGGCCGTCACCTCCTGCTTCCACGACGTCTCCACAGGGTTGTGTTCTCAGGGAAAAGCCTCACCATCCTCCGAGTTGCTCGTGCTAGAAATCTGGGGGTGACTTCCTACCTCGCCCTCCAAATCCTGCCGGGTCTGCCTGTGAAACCTCCCTCCAACGCGCGCAGCGTGCAATTCCCTCTGCCCGCCGTCACCACCCTGGGTCAAGGCCACCATCATCTCTCACCTGGTTTCTGTGGAAGCTGCCTGGAGTCCCTGTACCTTCCACTCTTGTCCCCTCTGGTGTGTCATCTTCAGGAGTCACCAAGCTGACCGTGCTCTGTCCACTGCACTTGGAAAGCAGCCCGACCCCTGTGTGACCAGGCCCGGCCTGCCATCGTCCTCACAGGACACGCTGCCTCCCAGGGCCCTCTGCTCCCCTCAGCCCTGCGGCTCTTGCTCCTCCACTTTCTCTTCCTTTGGGGGTCTCCCCACAGCATCTCACCCTCAGCAAAGTCTTCCCTGGGGCAGGTGCCGGGGCTACAGCTCCACCGCCCGCACCGCTCCATGAACACGGGGCCCCACTGCAGAGATCCAACCGCTCGGCGTCTGCACGGCAGCCGTCAGCCCCACGCAGGCAGAGACGCTCCCCGCCTGCTCTCCGTCTACCCAGAGCCCACCACAGCCAGCGCAGGCTCTCAGTGAAGTCTGGAGGAGAGGGGCGCGTGACGATGGATAACGGAGCTCTTAGCATCTTGGCCAAAATGCCAGGCATGCAGGGGACCAGGACCTCAGTGACCCGAGTGTGTGACAAGATGGTGTTTGGAATTGTCCCTCAGCACATCTGACATGTTTGTGCCTGTGCCTGCGTGTGCCTGCGCCCGTGAGTGTCCTTGTCAGTGTGTGCCCGCGTCAGTGTGTGCCTGCGCCTGCGTGTGCCTGCACCCGTCTGTGTCCATGTCAGTGTGTGCCCATGTCAGTGTGTGCCTGTGCCTGTGTGTCTGTGTTAGTGTGTGCCCGTGTCAGTGTGTGCCCGTGTCAGTGTGTGCCCGTGTCAGTGTGTGTCTGTGCCCTGCCCGTGTGCCCGTGTCAGTGTGTGCCCATGTCAGTGTGTGCCTGTGCCTGTGTGTCTGTGTTAGTGTGTGCCCGTGTCAGTGTGCCCGTGCCCGTGTGTGCCCGTGTCAGTGTGTGCCCATGTCAGTGAGTGCCTGTGCCCGTGTGTCCATGTCAGTGTGTGCCCGTGTCAGTGTGTGCCTGTGCCCGTGTCCATGTCAATGTGTGCCCGTGTCAGTGTGTGCCTGCGCCTGTCTGTGTCCATGTCAGTGTGTGCCCGTGCCCGTGTGTGTCCGTGTCAGTGTGTGCCCCCACCAGCCAGAGCCCGTGCCTGTCGGTGCAGGTGTCAGTGTTTGCTGCGTCTGAGCAAGCACACCTGCACCGCTGCTCTGAACAGGGCTTTCTTTGGTCCCCTCAACCCAGCTTCCTTTCCTGACGCCTCCCTGGTGTTGGGAGGTGGCTAATGCTAAGTCCTTGGATGCCCCAGAAAAATCCAAATGGGTCTGAGGAGAGGCAGAGCTGGCAGGGGGAACCCGGGTCCACGTCAGGCAGGCTGAGATCCGCACGTGCCCCTGCTTGGGGCAGGGTGTGCCTGCGTCCCCCTGGTGCATCCATGACGAGCTCCTGTGTCCCTGCCCTGCAGGCATCATGCTGGGCCGCATGGGTGACAGCGGGGCCCCCCTGGTCAGCTTCTGCCAGTGCCTCAACGAGTCAGTGATGAAGATCGTGGCGGTGGCTGTGTGGTAAGCCTGGTCGGGGCCGGGTCCTCTCTCACCCCACCCCCTGCTTCCAGTCCTGGACGGGTGGAGGGCAGCCATGGTCCCATCCTCTGCTCTCCTGGGGGCACCGCAGAAAGCCGCACGTGAGGCTCAGCCCCAGGCCCGGGTCCAGAGCTGCATGTATTTCCACGGGTCCCCCAGCCCTGACCAGGACTCCCTCCAGCCCTGGGCTTGCCACTTCTGGCCAGGTCTGGAGGAGAGCCAAGAGCTCAGCCTGGCTCTGCTGCTCTCCCGGCCTCAGTTTCCCCATCACAGGGAGCCTCCTCAGCTCAGCTTTCGGAGAAGGGAAACACAGGGGGTGAGAACGAGCTGCCACTCCTAGGTTGAGTTCAGATGGGACAATGCAGAGGGAGGTCCGCCCACAGTCACCCTTGGAGGCCATGGCCTTGCTGGGGCTGCGCTGGGGTAACTCCTCAGAGACATGGGCGGGGGAGGCCCAGAGAGGCTAAGGCCGGCTGGGACCCCGCCTGCCCGGCCCCTGAGCCCACGCCACCCTGCCACCCCCAGGTACTTCCCCTTCGGCATCGTGTTCCTCATCGCCGGCAAGATCCTGGAGATGGACGACCCCAGGGCTGTGGGCAAGAAGCTGGGCTTCTACGCGGTCACCGTGGTGTGCGGGCTGGTGCTCCACGGCCTCTTCATCCTGCCTCTGCTCTACTTCTTCATCACCAGGAAGAACCCCATCGTCTTCATCCGCGGCGTCCTGCAGGCCCTGCTCATCGCGCTGGCCACCTCCTCCAGGTACCCTAGCAGGGCAGGATGGCGGGGCGCAGGGGCTGGGCTCTGTCTGCCTGCTGGGCGTCATCTGCCCACAGCCACAGAGCCACAGAGCATGCCGGCGTGGCCCACTCCACAGACGCGGGGGTGGCTGAGCTGCTATGGTGGTAGGACCTATTGGGGATTTCACATTTGAGGCCTCACCAGCCCAAATCCCCTCTCGAGGCCTTCCCTCCCCAATTGCCCGCCATCCCTAAGGTTCTCTCGATACAAATGGGGGTCGCTTCTGCGCATCAGGGGCAGAGAGAGCTGTAGCGTCTGTCAAAAATCACATCAGCAATGAACTGCTGTTGCCCTTTGCCGCCACATGGTGCTCCTATTGGAGTCAGGCCTGCGCATTCTCGCTGTTCCTGGGACTCGCTGGGACCTCCCAGTGGCATGCCCTGTTACAGGGCGGCAGGCAGGGTTGCTAGGCGGCGGGGATTTGAGTCATGGCTCCATCACTCACTCCCTGTGTGACTGTGGGCCGGTCACACCCTCCTTGGGCACCAGCTTCCTCATGCACAGACTGGGGATAATCTGAGCTTCCCCAGCCCAGGGTAGCTGTGGGGACTGAGGTGATCCACTACGGGTGACAATGCCCGTCGGGGCCGTACGAGTCAGCACCTGGCCTCAGGATCCCGCGCTGCAGTGAGCGCAGCAGACCTCAGGGATTCGGAGCTGCGCAAGCCAGGTTGCTGGTCAAGAGGGCAGGGAGGCAGCAGTCATTACAGAGCACCAACCCTGTGAAGAAAGGGTGCTCTCCCCACGGCGAGTGTCCAAGCTCCATGTTAAGGAAGGTGTAGGGGCTCGAGCCAGCCACGTCTCTATGGCACCAAAGGCCTTGCTCTTCCCTCCAGCCCTTGCTGCCTTCTCTTCCCTGGGCCTCAGCTTCCCCATCTGTGAGATGCCCCGCAGGCCCCCCAGGCAGACATACGGCCCCACCCTTGGCAGCAGAAGCACCTCCCGCAGGGCTCAAGAGGAGCGGACCACAGTGAAGAAAAGCCCAGAAGGCACAGTCCAGGAACATTCACCCAGGGCGGAGGCCAGGCCGTAAAAGGGAAAGACAAAGCCCTAAATGGTGCCAGCTCCCATGCCAGGGGCCGAGTCCCGCCACCTCCTGCCAGCAGGAACTGCAGCCGGAGCCCAGCACGTCTGGGGCTCATTAGAGGCTCCTGGGCAGTGGCCTGTGGGCAGAGGAAGGGCTTGGGGGCCACCCCAGCCTGAGTTTTAGTCCCAGCACTGCCACTAGGAACTCTCATAACAAACACAGTAACAATAATAGCGACTGAGTGCTTACGATGTGCAGACACTCTTCTGTGCTCTGTAACCCAGGTATTGTTTGAGACAAAGAAGCTGAGGCACAAGGTTCAGGAATTGCCAGGGCCACTTGGTAGGAGGCTGGCATCTAAACCCGGGCAGCCGGCCCAGAGCCCCTGCTGTTCACCACTTCATGTGCTCTTGGCAGAGCAGTGTGTCATTGGGTTAGCCCTTGGTCCCCTCTGGGCTCAGTTTCTTCATCTGTGAAATGGACTCAACCCCGTCCCCCATAGGAGAGCGCAGCACAGTGCCTGGTGCACCTAGGTCTCTTCCAGGGGCCACTGCCTCCATGCGGTGAGCAGCCCGCGCTCTGCCAGGCGCCTGCTCTCCCCTGCCGTGGTCCGGCTGCCTGGGGCAGAGTGAGCTTCCCTGACCATCCTGGAGGAGGATGCTGTGCAGACACTGGCCCCTCTGCCCATAGCTCAGCCACACTGCCCATCACCTTCAAGTGCCTGCTGGAGAACAACCACATCGACCGGCGCATCGCACGCTTTGTGCTGCCCGTGGGCGCCACCATCAACATGGACGGCACGGCGCTCTACGAGGCTGTGGCCGCCATCTTCATTGCCCAGGTCAACAACTACGAGCTGGACTTCGGCCAGATCATCACCATCAGGTGCGTCCTGACACCCGCACCTTGTGGGGATGGGGCGGGGGCCGGAGGAGCCTTCTGGATCCTCAAGCTCCCAGACCTGACGGGTTCTCTGAGGCCGGTCGGTGGTGGGGCTGGGACTCAGGGCACAGGGCTCCTTCCTTGGCCGCCCTGCAGCCTGTGGGAGGACAGAGGGCCACGACTGGAAGCTCCGAGCCTGGGGACAGGCAGGAAGGGGAGGGCAGTGCAGGCGGGCACAGGGCAGGACTGAGGACCACGGACAGGCCGCTGGCATGGCAGGAGCTGAGCGAAGGGTGCTGGGGCCAGGCGGAGGCTGAGGGAAGCCTCGCCTGCCAGCCAAGCGCACAGTCCCACCCTGGGGAGGCTGGGGCAGCGCTGCGCCCGTGGACCACCTGGGAGCTCCTTAACAGTGCAGCGTCCTGGGAAGGCACAGCTCCAGATACAAGTGTCTACGGCTTCCTCAGGAGGGTCTCCTGAGGCCAGGGATGGGGGTCCAGTGGGCTATAGGATCAAAGCAGGGATGTGCCCCCTGAGAACTCCCTGAGGTGGTGTTGCTAACAACCCCCACCCCGTGTGGCTGTCCTGGAGGCCCTGGCATTCTGGCCTCCTCCTTGGAGCCAGGGCCCTGACAGTGCACCCCACCCCCTCCTGCAGCATCACAGCCACAGCGGCCAGCATCGGGGCAGCCGGCATCCCCCAGGCTGGACTCGTCACCATGGTCATCGTGCTCACCTCCGTGGGACTGCCCACCGACGACATCACCCTCATCATTGCTGTCGACTGGGCTCTGTGAGTGGACTTCGGCCTCGGCCCCAGTGCTCAGGGAGGGGGCTGGCTTGGAGGGCAGCAGGCACGGGGTGTTGAGTCCCTCCCTGGGGTAGAGAGCTGGGGAACTGCCATGCGTAGCACAGTGGTTGCGCCCTACTCATCAGCACAGGCCTGGCTGCATAATTTGGGGGCCCAGTGTTCAAAAATGAAAATGTGGAGCCTTTTGTTTAAAAGTTCTAAAGAATTTCAAGATAGAAAGAGCAGAGCATTAATCCGGGCCTGGCCCTCCTAAGCGTAGGGCCCCGTGCAACACACAGCCACACGCCCACGAGGCCAGCCCTGCCTCAGCTGCTTCGGCACCGCCAAGGAGTGGGCTTGGGAGGGGCCAGGGAGCCACCTGGCTGTGGCTCTGCCCGGTGGCTGCTGCAGTGGCCTCATTCCTCAGGGTTGAGCTCTGCCCTCTTCCAGCTCCCCACAAAGTGCCCGCTGCTCACCGCCCCCCTTGGCTCACCAGGGACCGTTTCCGCACCATGATTAACGTGCTGGGGGATGCACTGGCCGCGGGGATCATGGCCCACATCTGCCGGAAGGACTTTGCTCGGGACACGGGCACGGAGGTGAGAGCAGTGCCCCCCTCCCAGCCTGGTGGCCCTTTCCTAGTGGAGCGTGGTGGGGTGGGCAGGGCACCAGACCTCCCACCAACCAGCTGGGCAGCCTTCAGCCAGTCCCTCCATATCTCTGCGCCTCAGTCTCCTCATCTGTTACAGGGGGTACTGATTCCTCTATTTATTGAGCACCTGTGATGGCCAGCACTGACACAGACACAGGAGGAACAAACTACGATGAAATCCCCTGTCCTCATGGAACTCACGCTGTAGCGTGGGGGGGGCGCTGTTCAGTGGGTCTGTAGGGGGTGGTGTGGTCTTCTGCACTGTGTCATAAGCTGCCCCACTTCACAGGGAGGAAGCTGAGGCTCAGGCAGGGGAGCCACCGATTCCCTCGCTGAACCCTGTGGGTCAGGTCCCCTCCTCTAAGACAGCCCCAGCAGGAGGCAGGACAGCTTGGGAACTGGAGCCCAGGGAGGCCACATGTCATGACAGACGATCCATCTCGTGGTTCCCAGACCTGAGCTTGTTCTGTTCCACTCTGACCCTCGGTCCTCCCTAGTGTCTAACCTCAGTCCCTCCTGCTGCTACCAATACCTGTTTCCCCTCTCCAGAAACTGCCACCCATCGAGACCAAGCCAGTGAGCCTCCAGGAGATCGTGGCAACCCAGCAGAACGGCTGCGTGAAGAGTGTGGCTGAGGCCTCTGAGCTGACACTGGGCCCCGCCTGCCCCCACCATGTCCCCGTACAGGTGGAGCAGGATGAGGAGCCGGCAGCCACCAGTCTGGAGCACTGCACCATCGAGATCAGTGAGCTCGAAACCAACGTCTGAGCCTGCAGGACGGGGCTGCAGGGGCAGGCAAGGCCTGGGGCAGGAACTCAACTCTCCAACTCTCCCGAGCAGCTGCCAGGGGCCAGACTCACACGTTCTTCCCACCCTGGCGAGGCTGGACTTAGCCCCATTTGACTGAAATGGGATTTCAGAGAGGGGAAAGGCCTCAGGGCAGCCCCAGCCAGAGAGTGACCGAGTGGCATAGCCCAAGCGCCAACGGCGGCAGTTTTCCCCGTGTGAGCCTGTGAGGACGGCAGGTGGGGGTCATCCCCACTTTCTGGATGACAGAACTGAGGCCCTGACAGCTAAAAACACTTGCCCATGGTCTCGAACAAGTAAGATCAGGGCCAGAATGCTCACTCAAGTCCTTCAAGCCCGGGCCTCTCCCTCCCGGAGGACAAGGGCAGTTTGTGGGGCCAGATGCCCGGAGAGGCTCCACCCGCTCCGCAAGTCCGCAGAGCCGCCACCACGTCCCATGTGTGAAGACATAATAACGACGTCCTAGTTTCTGTCCCAGCGGTGTCCAGGCCCACCCCACCCCATAACAGGTGGCCTCAGCCAAACAGATCTCCCCAAGGGGGACCCAGTCCAGGGCCAAGACCCGCTGCCTTCCCTGGGCCACCGTCCATCTGGTCTCCTGTCCTGCCACTTGTCTCTTACAAAGCTTATCGGATATGGAGACAGATGTCCTCACTGCAGCTGGAAGGCCCCTTAGACACGTCCAGGCCAACCTCCCATGGGACAAGTGGGCAAGCCAGGGCCCAGGGGAGGCTCAGGCTGGGTTGCTCTTGTCTAGCCACCGACGGGGCCCTGCTGTCAGAACTGCCCAGAGGCCCACGTGGCAAAGTGGAGTCAGGTTTTCTAGTCCTTTCTGTGTTTTCGAATTCAGTCATAACTAAATAAAGGTATTTTGTTCTTCACTTTTTGTGGGCTTAGAGACCATACCCTGGCCAGAAGTTCTTTACTGGGCTAATACAGCTGTCAGAGTGTAGACGGGCCTGCCTGGGCAGCCAGGGTGTGCACAGGCCTGTCTGGGTGGAGCCAGAACACAAACAGGCTTGTCCATGTAGCTGGAGTGTAGACAGGTCCACCCAGGCTGTCAGCGTGTGGACAGGCCTGCCTGGGTGGCCAGCGTGCAGATGAGCCTGTCCCGGTGTGTGTAGCAGGGACAGGCCTGTCTGAGCTGTCACATGCAGAAGGCAGAATACAAACCGGCCTGCCCAAGAGCCTGTCTCAACAGCCGCAACGTGGCTGGGCCTTGTCCAGTGCAGACAGACCACTGTGCCCCAAGCCTGGCTCTGCTCTCCAGACAGGGCCCTGGGATCAGTCCCCATAAAAGGAACCCATTTCCTTCACTAGTCTGGCTCCCTGTGGTGAATGCTCTGTCTTAGAGAGGGGACATACCCAAGGACGTTTCCAGACTGTCTCCCTCACTCCCCTCACCCTGGGTGCCTCCAGGAGGCCTGCAGGGTACACGGAAGGGCCCTGGCCACACAGCCTGTTCTAGATGTGCCTTGGGGAGAAGATACAGCTCTGGGGTCTGGAGGGGTCTTGCACCATGATGCCCACGAAGACGCTGATGCCCAGAGAGGAGACAGGCCCCCCAACGTCACTCAGAGTGAGGAGGGCACCTGCTCCAGCCTTCTGCTCCTGAACTACTTCCATCCTTCCCCCAGGGCCATGGTCTGAGGGGTCTGGGAAGAGCCTTGACCCCAGGATACCCCCTCCCACGCAGGGCTGGGGTTGTGGGGCCGCCACGAGAGCAGCCTTCCTTCTCTGAGGCCCACTCGCCCAGGAGAGGTGGGGTGTCACGCCACCAGCCACCCCCACCTTCTGTGGATGGGCTGTTCACCCCTTCCGTGTCACGTCTCTAACACCCTTTGAGCAGACAAGTCTGCCCACCACAAGGCAGACGCCTGCTCTTTAGTAAGCTTGATAGGAACACACTTACACACCTCCAGTAGCCGGGAGGTCACTACTTCCTGGGCAGCTCTACCTATCAGAGGTTCTCCTTAGCTGGGAACTGGGTACTCCCTTCCTGCGGCTGCCTCCCCCAGCTCCAGCTCTGCCCCCACAGGGCATATCTGTTACCTCTGCTCTGGGAAGGCCTGCAGAGGCCTGGGACCCCAAGTCAGCTGTGCCCCAGCTCCCAGGCCCTCCTGCAGTCCCTTCCCCACCTCTCTGGGACAGACCCCCATTGGTAATACCCCTTAGTGCAAAGGTGCTTTGTGACCTTCCAGGTGAGGCCTGAGCAGGCCCAAAGCCCAGCAGGTCCTTTGCTTGGATGCTTGGCCTCTTGGGACACAGAGTGAGCTCGAAGGCCCAGTGTGTGGTCCCGGGACAGGACCTGCGGATTCCCACCGAGCTGACAGGCTGCACGCACCACCCGGCCTCCTTACCTGTGGCCGCGCCCGTCTCCCTGGCCCTCTGCCTGTGCAGCTGCTCTGGGGGCCCCAGGAACTGACGTCTGCACTGATTCCTGCTGGTCTGGCCAGCACGCTGAGGTGCTTGTGTCCTGCCCACCCCACCCCACTGCCAGCCCCGCACCTGGCAGGAAGCACACACAGACACGGCCACAGGCTGCAGGGACAGGGATAATGCTTTTATATTAGTTTTCTGTAACAAGAAAAATCAGCTTTGAAATTTTTATCATTTTTTTCCTTGAAAAAAAATAAAAAACCAAAGGCACCCAGAACTTCCCATGAGCCTAAAGAATAAAGACGATGTCTCATAGGTGTGGCTGGGCCCTTCCTGCCTGGCCCGGCCCAGCACACGGCCTCTGCCTCACTCCTGCCCAAGGCCCCAGCAGCACCCGGAGACTCTCCAGTCCAGCCTTGGTGGGGCTCGCCCGTTAGAAAGTGCCTTTGGCCTACCAGCGCGTGGCAGGGAGGGGCTCTCAGCAAACTGACTGCCCCAGCACCTGGGAGTACAGGGTGGCCGGGCCAGGGCAGTAGTCCTGAAGGTTCCTGCCCCCAAAGGGAGGCAAAGGAACAAAAGCCAGTTTTTGTGAGTTCCAGAGGGTAGCAGGCACCTGGCCAGAGCACAGAGATAACTCTGTGTCTTCTCCAGGGGACGGACGGACAGATGCACTGGGCAGACGGCGAGCTGCTCTGGCCAGTTCCCACTGGGGGCAAGAGCTGTTGGTGGCATAGGCCCTGGAGGGCTGTCTGCACACGACTGTGTATGTGTGTGTGTACACACATGGACACACGAGTACACGTGTCAGCAGGGAAGGTAGCAGGAGCCCGTGTGTGCAGGGCAGGGTCAGACCCTCCCGAGTCTGCTGACTCAGAGAGCACGGCAGGGGTGTGGGTGTGGGTGGAGAGTGTGATGGTCTGGAGGGGGGTGTGGAACTGGCTGTGTGTGGCTGAGCTGGGTGTGTGTGACGTGCTTTCTACACGTGTCTGGCTGTGCTCAGGCTGTGTTGTGTGGGATGCCCCATGGGTGCAGCGCTGGGTGTGACCATGAGTGTGGCAGGATGGGGGTTCACAGGGCACAGGCGTGTGCTGCAGAAAGGAGTCCGGTGGTCCACTGTCCTGCAGAACATGTAGGAGAGTCAGGATCCAGCTCAGAGCAGACCCACCAGCCACAACCACCTTGGAGGGAGGTCCCACCTGAGGGGAGCCCTGCTTGGAGGGGCTCTGGAAAGGCCAGGCTAACTATGAGGGGGAGGGGAGTTGCCCTGGGAGTCCAGAGCAGCAGGGCTGCCTGCTAGGAGGTGCTCCTGCCAATGCGGGTAGCCTAGTGTGCACCAGAAGGCCTTGAGTCCCTCCCAGGGCCCCGTTCAACTGACCTGCCTGTGGCCAATGTCCTCCAGAGGGGGCAGACTCTCACCCATCCTAGGATTCTGCAGCCTCCCTCGTAAAGGCCATAGTGTCCTCACTGAATGGCCAGTCACCCTGTCGCTGATCCCTAACTGTGTGAGGACAGCCCCTCTCTGCTGGGATAACCTCCCCACGCACACTATGTCTTCAGCCTGGGCCCCTCGCCTCAGCTCCCTCTGCCATCTGCACACCGGGTCCTCAACAGCCCTTCAGGCTGCTCTCTGTCCAAGGCCAGCATCCTGACAGTGGCCTATCCACCTCCTGGCTACACCCTGGCCCTGTGCCCCACCCCCCACACAGCTCACAAAAACTAACCTGCAATAGCCCCCGGCTAGCCAGCATGTGCCCCTTCTCCAACAGCCCCCTCCATGTCCCTGCTCACCCACCCCTCCATCGGCACCTGCTTCCCTACCCAGCCTGACCCCCAGGCCCCACGACTTCAGCCACTCTCTTGCCAGTACTCTGAACTTCCTTGTTCCTTGCCCTCCAGTCCTATACACCTGGCTGAAAACCCAGCCCTGGATGGATCCAGTGGTCCCTCTTCTCCACACCTCAGTCTGCTGGGCACCTGCTACTGCACAGAGAAAACAGAAGGCTGAAGGCATTGGCTGGACGTGACTGCGCGTCCAGCCACCAAGCCACTAACCAGCCTGTGACTACGCCTACTTGGCCCTCTGGCCCTCCTGCCACAGTGGAGGAAGCTCCGGCCCTCCTGCCAAAGCCAGCCCCTCCCACCGTCCCTGTCCCGCAGGGGCCCTCACTCCTAACCCTCCTTCTGTGTCGTTAACTCCCCCGACCCAACACACACGGCCTCTTCCCATCAGCATCCAAGCCAGCTCCATCCCTCAAGAGAGGCATCGAAGGAGGTGAGCCCTTCCTGAACTCCACACCCCCTTCCCACTACCACCCTCTCTCTCATCTCCTCACAGCCAAGCTTCTTAAAAAGATCGTCTATACTCCCTGGATCCACTTCCTTTCCAGCTACTCTCTCCACCCCATCTACCCGCACAGCCACTCCTACAAAGTCACAGATGACCTCTGTGTGGATAAATTCAGTGGCCCCCAGCAGTGCTCAGTGCCCTCAGCCTTTCGGCAGGAGTGACAGGGTTGATTCTCCCCACTTTTGAAGAAGCTGGTGCATGTACATACCACGTGTGCATGCATGTGTGCACATACGTGTGCATGTGAGGGCCTGTGTGCATGGGTATGCATGGATGTGCATATGTTAATGTACTCAAATGCATGCATAGGTGTGCATATACACATGTACATACTCTATGCCTGCAAACGTGTCATGGAGTACAAGCATGTGTTCATGTGTGTGGTATATGTTCTGTGTGTGCTTTGTGAATGTATGGCATGTTTAGACGTGCATATAAATGTGTTGGCTCATATGTGTACATTGTGTGCATGTGTGGGTGCTTGTGTTACATACATGTGCAAATTCCCTCTGCCCATGGCAGTCTGTGGTTTTCCTACCTCCTTTCCTACCAGCTCCATCTCAGTCTCCTCCGCAGCCTCCCCTCCCACTGTGCCTGCCCCCCTCACTCACTCCCCTAGCAAGCGCCCCCAGCCCCCTGCAGCTTCAGAGACTGAAGGCTGACAACGCCTGGAAATCCAGTCTCCAGCCCCAGAACCAAGTGTCCAACCCCCCACGCCCAGGGAAGCTCCCGGCACAGCTCTCATCACCCTGGATTAGAACCCTCTGGCATGTGCAGGTCTCCTGTGAGCTTGCTGTCACACCCCAACCTCTCAGCCAGGGCCCGTGTGTCCCAAGTGCTCTCATAAATTCGCATAATGAACAGAAAAAGCAGAGGACACAGGGTGAAGAATGGACAGGAAGACCCTAGACTGGGTTCAGGGACAGGACAGTTTGGTGAGGAGAGGTGAGTGCTGTCCCCACACAGACCACCTACCTAGGTCAGATCTGTGTCACCTTGCCACTATCTCGTTTCCTCTTCCTCCTCATCCTCCTCATCCTCTTCTTCTTCCTCCTCCAAGCGGCCACGGTCCTTGGAAACGTCACCAAACTCAAAGTTGCCTTCAATGTCTAAGACCTGCAGGTGCTTCAGCCTCCGGAAGGCGCTGTCCACCACAGAGCCCACGGCCAGCTTGTTAAACCTGTGCGAGCCGTCCAGGCAGGGTCAATGCCAGGAGCCAGGGTCCCCAGAGTCCCCTGTCTACACCCCCAGAAGGTGAAGGGGGAGGGAAGGCGGCACAGCGAGGAGAAGAGGTGCTGTGTGTGATGGAAAGCACAAGTTGTTCAGGGTAGCCACAGCCCAGGACAGGGGCTGCCGTGGGGCCAGTCCCCTACAAAGCAAGGGGTCCCTGTCTGCATACACTTTCACTGCTACATCAGGAGTGGCAGCTCCAGTGCTCTCTGCCCACCTCTGGCATTTATCCCAAGACCTGAGCCTCTTGGGCTAGCCAGCCTGGTGTCACCGAGGTGCCTGGTGTGGCATGGTGCAGAGTCATGGGACAGGCCAGGGCACACTGAGCATAGGAAGCTGGAGGCAGGGGCTCTGATCTCAGGCCCCTCAGCTCTCTACCTCAGCTCCCCTGCAGAAGCCTGAGACATGTGTCACACCACCCAATGTCACCAAGCCCTGGGCCTCTGGGCCACAGAGCCCCTGGGAGTGCACCTCTGCTCTGCTCTGTCTCCCTCTCTGATCTGGGGGAGGGGTGGTGGGAGGTGCTGGGAAGAATCACCCTGGCTCTGCCGTAGGGAAGTTCCTCAGATCCTCCAGGAGCAGGGTCCTCTGACTCATTCCGAACCCAACCCCCATCCCCACAGCCTGGCCAGGACCTGCACATCTCTTCCCGGATGTCTGTGGACACAGCAGTCACCTGTGCTCTCTGGGCCTTGGCTTTCTCAGCTATAAATCGGGAAGATGCTGTCTGGAGTCCCTTCCTGCCACACTAACACTAATAACACCCGTGTGCACTGGTTTTTAAAGTTTCCAAAGCCCTTTTACAAACCTACAAACCATATCAGGCTTGGCCAGGACTGTCCCCACCCTTGAGAGCTGAGAAAACAGAGGCTCGGCGGGGTCCCGTGACCTATCCATGGTCACACAGCCAGTCAGTGGTGGAACCAGTGATCTTTGAACACTGACCTCCACCTGCAACTGTTCCCAGGTGCCTCGAATGTCCCTCCAGAGCTGGGGCAGGCCCCAAGGGGGTCTATGAGGGGCCACTGGGACCTCCTACCTGAGAAAGATGCCCTTGAGGTTGGGTGTAGAGTCAAAGGCATTGGCAGGCACGGTGCTAATCTTGTTGTTCTGCAGGTACAGGTACTCGAGTGACTCGGGGAGCCCCTCGGGGATCTCTGTAAGCTGGTTCCCAGCAATGTCCAGCAACTGCGGGGGTGACCAAGGGAGTCAGGGACTCCCACCTGTGCAAAGCACTTAATAGCTTATAAAACCCCCAGCAAGCCCCTAGCTTATCTAAATCTAATGTTAACCCTGCTGGGGGCAGGGAGGAGGAAGTCTTTAACTACCCCCATTTTTCAGGTGGGGAAACAGAGGCTCAGAAAGGTTGAGTGATCTGTCCAAGGCCACACAGCCTGTAAGAGGCTGGAACCCAGTGCACCTGACTCCAAACCCTTGTTAATTACTGTCTTTCCTATCCAGCCCCTCTGCCTTCCCACATGAATTCACAGCCCAGACATTTGGGTGTCATGGTCCTCCCTTCTTAAAACACTTGTTATGCCTGTCAGACCAAAGACTTCAGACAGGCAGCGGCCAGGGATCCTCCAGCCTTCGAATCTCACCCCACTGGCCCTGGATGGGAGGTGCGTGGATGGGGTTGCTCATTTATGGGCCTCGGGGGACAGTGTGCAGGAGCTGGGAGTGAGGGTGTGAGGCCCACAGTGACCCCAGCACAGGAGCCAGGCCCCAGGCTGGTCAGTCTCAGACTCGTCATGTGCCTGGGGTCCAGGAGCCGGCAGTCAGGGAGGTGGGGATGGGTTTCCCAGGGAGCAGGACAAGAGCAGTGTCAGGAGACCAGAGGGGGAAGAGGGGGCAAGGGCAACATATGTAACCTAAACATCTGTACCCCCATAATATCCTGAAATAAAAATATACATATATATAAAAATAAAAATAAATAAAAAAAAAAAGGAGACATGCACTGGCTCTGAGGCCACCCTTTTCCAACCTACACACCTGTGCAGCCACAGGGGCTACTCTGTGGTCTCTAAGCTCCCTTCCTCGCACCGAGAGGCCGGGGTTCAGGGCCAGGAACCGGGGATGGTGAATCCATCGAGCCAGGCAAGTCGGCATCAAGATTCGAGGGGAGCACAAGCTTCATCCTCAGGGAGCCTCCCTGCCACCTCCGCTACCCAGCAGAGCTCCCTGCCTCCCACCGTGTGGCCAAGCACTCAGTGCCCTCCACACGTCTCTCCCTCAGCATTTCTTCATGACGTGCCAAACACCCTTAGTGCCCATGGGCACAGGGGACAGGAACCCACTGAGATACTACCACTGTCAGGAAGCCAGTCTGGCAGGGGAGATGGACACAAAATATGACAATGACAAGCCTGTGGGATTGGGCTGTGATGAGGAAGTCCAGGGGAGGGTCCTGACCCAGCCTTGGGGCAGGGGAAGCTTTCCAGGGGAGCAGAGGGCAGGCAGCACAGGTAGGGGCTCCGAAGTAGCAGGAGCAGCTGCCTGTAGAAAGATCCAGCATGAGGAAGAGTCGCCTCCCTCACCAGACATCCCTGGTCCAGCCCCAGGGAGGCATCTGTCCTGCCGGCCATCAGTGGAGGGGCGGGGGAGGGGTGTCCTAGAGAAGGTGACACCTGGGCGGAGTCCTAAGTACACGCTGCAGAAGGGCAGGGGCCTCCATCTGCCATATCCCCACTGGGCCCCGGTCCTAGACCTGTGCCTGGCACGCTGGGGGCTTGGCACAGGCTTGTGGAATGAACGAGTGAACAAGTAGTTGTCCCCAGGGAAGAGGGGCCAGCATGAGCTGGGAGCCGGGGCAGAGCAGGCCTCAAAGGCCACAGCAAGGGGTCTGGCTTGGGTTCTAAGGAAATGGGGAGCCACAGAAGGGTTCTGGGCAGGAGCATGAGACGGGCATTTGTTTTTCAAGCCGCTCTTGACTGCACGTGGAATACAGCAGTGGAGGGCTCCTCGGAAGCTGAGGTCGGGGAAGGAAACGGGCGGCCCGGCCTCACATGCAGGCTGCAGGGCTGTGGTGGCAGAATGGTAGGGTTAGGCGACGAGGAGGGGCTGTTGGCAAGGGCAGTGGTGAAAAAGGGCATGTTAAGGGGGCTTCCCCTGGTAGATGTCATCTTGTCCCTTCAGTGAGTTAGAAAGTGTAGCAGGAGGAGCAGACGTGGAGAAGGGGCTCCTAAAGAATGTGTGAGAGAGACAGCACAGGCCATGGGCAACAGGATACTGGTGTCTGGCGCTCAGCAGGGGGTTCTGGGGGAGGAGAGGCCCCCACTGACCCTGCAGGAACAGCTGCCCCACCCTGCCCCCACCCTGCTCCACTGTCCAGCCCCTCCCCCATCCTCCCCACCCTCTGGGCCTCTCCCCTGCACTCTGCTCAGACACCCCGACCTTGCAACAACCCATTGGACTTCCACAGACTGTTCGGCCATCCCTCCACAGGCACCGGCTGTGAGCCTGCCATGCAGAGGGCTGGGTCCAGCCGTGACACAACAGCCTCAAGGCCTGCTTCTTACTCTAGTTCCAGCAGTTGGCAATAAACAAGCAAACAGACAACGGGAAGAGACGAGGGTTATAAAGAAAAACAAGGCAGAGGAAGGCCAGAGGGTGAAGGAAGGCCTCCCAAGGAGGTGACATTTGAGCAGAGCCCTGAGGACATCTGGGGCAGAGAGGACAGCAATGCAGAGGCCCTGAGCTTCTCAGGTCCGGGTGAGCAGGGCAGGACCTGGTAGGGCCAGCAAGGAGCCACGGGAGTGGCTGTCAGTCCCTGACCTGGAAGCACCTTGTTCTCCCACCCACGTTCTCTGATGAATTTCTCTTTTCAGCGATGCTCATAGAGTTGGGAGGTTTCACCTGTTACCAAAGGAGGCTGGATTCATGGGCCCAGACATCCCTGCCTGACTCTGACCACAGCAGTCACACCCACCGACCAGCACCAGAATGCAGGAGTAGACTCCCCTGTCCCTGGCCCTCTGCAGACTGATGAGGTCAGCCCACCGCCACCCCACCATCTCCACCTAGAGCCCCAGCCTTCTCCAAGCACCTATTCCTGTCCCGGCAGGTGGGTAAGCCTGACTCTCCCATGCCACCCAAACTGCCCCCAGTCCTCCTGAACCACAGGCCCCGCCTGCAGCCCTGACCACCCCTTAGCACCACGGCCCTGCTCAGTCCTGCATCTGTAGGTGAGCTCAGCCTGGCCACACCAGCTGTACCCGCAGGTAGGCTGGGCTGACCCAGGCATGCCAGCCACACTCTCTGTGTAGCCCACCTCCCCCTACCCAGCCTCTCCAGCCACACCTGAAGGTGAACGCGCTCAGGCTGCCCATGCCAGAGGAGCCTGCCTGACTGCCCAGCTCTCCTGACTCCCCACCCCTTCACCCGGCCCCAGCAGATGGGTGGGCTCAGGGCAGCCACACCAGTACTGCCCCTCACGGGCACGGCCCCGCCCTCTCCAGTCCCCCTTACCTGCAGGCCAGCGAGGTCCACCCAGGCGCGGGGGCCGAGGGCCCGGCTGCGCAGTCGGTTGCCGGTGAGGTAGAGCTCACGCAGCTGGGCCATGCCCGCCAGCGCCCCGCGCGCCAGGGCAGCCAGCTCGTTGCGCTTGACCTTCAGCACGTGCACGTTGCGGGGCAGCCCGGGCTGCAGCGCGTGGAGCCGGTTGCCGGACAGGTCCAGCGAGCGCAGCAGGCGCAGCTTGCGGAAGGCGTCGCGGTGCATCTGCTGGCTGGTGATGCGGTTGTAGCTGAGGTTGAGCTCCTCCAGGAAGTAGGTGGTGGCGAAGTCGTCGCGGCCGATGCCGGTGATCTGGTTGTGCAGGATCATGAGGGTGCGCACGCGGCGGGGCAGGCCGCTGGGCACGCACTCCAGCGCGTTGTTGTACAGGTGCACCGTGTGCAGCCGCTTGAGGCCCTGGAAGGCCCGCGGGTGGATGCCGTGCGCGCGCAGCTGGTTGCTGTGCAGCAGCAGGTACTCCAGGCTGCGGATGGGCGTCAGCACGTCGGCGTCCACGCGCTGGATGGCGTTCTTCTCCAGGTGCAGCAGCACCAGGCTGCGTGGCAGCCCTGCCGGGACCCGCGTCAGGTTGTTGCTGGACAGATCCAGGTACTCCAGGCTGGAGAGCTTCCTGCGGGAGGGAGGGAATTAGCATGGCTGGCAGGAGCACACAGTGCGCTTGTTTCCACCATTTTCCCAGGAGAAGTAGCAGGGGAACGGCTTCTCGTTCATCCCAGCTCTGCCACTCCACTGACTGAGGCCCGCAATCCTCTCTAAGCCTCTCACAGGTTGACTCAATGATACATTGGTATGGAAGGCTCTAGCATGGTTTCTGACACATAGGAGTTTATTCAGAGACCACTGTTTAACCTTTTGTGAGCCTTTTATGGCTATCCTGGGCCTTAGAAAATGAAAATATATTTGCTTTCAACAAGAATGCTTGAGTTTGCATTTCGTACCAAGAAGCCAGCCTCTGCAAACACTTCCTTGCCTCACTGGACTCTTGGCAGGCCTTCCCTATACATATTATTTGTTCTTAGGAACGGAAATGTCAACAAAGGCGCAAGCCTCAAAGTTCCTTCCCCAGTGAAACCGACCAGAGGAGGTGGGCAAGGCATGTGTGTGAGAGGGTGTGGCTGGGTGGTGGCCCCAAGAGGAGCTTCCTGGGCACACGGTCACACTGAGGATCTGGTGAGAGGGGGACTCACCAGAAGGTCTCATTGTCCAGGCCCTCGTCAGTCAGGTAGTTGTTCTGCAGGTACAGCTCGCGCAGGTTGCTCAGCTCGCTGAAGGCCCCTGGTGGGATCTTCTCCAGCTTGTTGTTCTGAGGGTGGGAAGGAAGGGAGGGGAGTGTGAGGGTAGGCCAAGGGCAGGGTCAGGCCCTCAGGATGAGATATGGAGAAGGGTCTGGGGAGCCACCGGGAGGGGAACCAGGCCCGGAGCATCCCGGGTGTGGTGCTGACAGCTCCCCACACACAAGCCGCACCAAAGGCCAGGTGCCCAGGCTTCTGCCCACTTGTGCACAGTGGACTGTGCTTTCAGCCCCACAGCCCCACTTGGGCAGTGCCTGTGCCCATATGCGCCTGAGCTCCTCCCCCTGCAGGTCCCTGCCCCGGTGCCCTGGCCATGGGGTCTACTTTCCCGCCTCCCTTTCCTCTCCCCTGCCCACCTTGAGGTGCAGCTTGTACAGGGCAGGCGGCAGGTGCTTGGGCACATGGCGCAGGAAGTTGCTGGACAGGATGAGGATCTCGACGTTGCTGGAGCCATTGAACATGTTGTCCGGCAGCCCGGCATCCGCCAGCTTGTTGTTATGCAGGTACACAGACCTGGGGTCGAGGCACAGGTCCTCACCCCACCTGGGCTCCCCTACTCCTTAAGCCAGCTCACCTGGTGAGCCTCCAAATCCTTGCTCAGGCTAATTCTGGGGCCCAGGACCCTCTCCTCCCATCCAAAACCAAGGGTCCAGTTAGATGAGCCTCAGACCCTGCCCACACAGCTGAGGGAACCAAGGACCAGAAGGGACAGTGCCCTACCAGAGGTGGTCCCATAAGTTAGTGGCAGAAATAGCATTTCCTGACCCCTAGTCCAGGCTCCTCCACACCTTTCAAGGTTCTCAGTTGACCCCCAGCTCTTGCAGCCCAGAGTCCTTCCCTCCCTCTCGGCTCCTGCATGCCTGCCTGTCACCGCCACGTAGTCTGGCTTGGAGTTCCATAGGGCTTCCTGAACACAGGGCCCATCCCCATCTGCCTCTTTGTCCCTGGTGCCCAGCACAAGGCCTGTCTCAGAGGAGGCAGCCCTCATTCATTCAGCAAATATATAGTGAGTATATTATATAATATGTTAAATATATATGCACATATACATAGACTATTTATATAAACAAATAAATATATGCTATGGGCCAGGACTGTTCTAGACTCTGAAGACCTACCCATGGGCACAACCAACAAGACTCTGCCCTCATGGAGCTAACATACTAGAAGGAGGGAGACAGGGATAAGATGGATGTGTATAAGATATAGCTCAGTCTTGCTGTGCAGCCTCTCTTGTGCCTCAGCCTTCTCATCTGTGGGATGGGGCCATGCTCAGTGACCCTAGGTCCTCATGTGGACAGAGAGAGTCAAGAGAGATGACAGATTGAGGGACAAAAGCAGGGTTGGTGTTTCCAGCCCAACCTCCTTCCTGGAGGAGGCTCCACCACAGCCCCCACCCCACCCCAGCACCACCCTGCCCTGCTCGCACACCCATGCCGGGGGCGCTCACTCCTCCCAAGGCAGCTCCAGCGAAGGGCAGCTCTGCCTGTTGGAAGATGCTTCCCTCCCCTAGGGGCTGGGAAGTGGGGGGACATCCTCCCCCAGCTCCCCACAATTCCTGCAAGCAACACTGTCCTTGCCTTCTGGACCAGTCCTCCTGTGCTCCTCCAGCCCCTGGGTGTCGCCCACTGCATGGCAAGCCCCTCCTCCAGGGCCTGTCTGTGCCTCACGCTGGATGGGCAGCCTTCACCTCAGCATCCCCCCCTTTCCCCAGCCCGACCTCAGGGTCATCCCCCTGACCTCTGACCTCAAGTTTGGCTTTTGGCCAAAGGTGAGCCCGTAGATCTTGGTGAGATAGTTGGCAGCGAAGTCCACGCTGATCAGGGCGTTTGGCAGGAATCGGGGTGCCAAGGTCAGCTGGAAAGGGAAGCATTGGGGCCAAAAGACCACTGGAGGAGCAGAGGCCAGCCCTGGGTCCCACTGCCTGCCGCTCATGAAGGCCCCTTACCTGTGTCTTCCCTGCAACCAGGGCCCTCTTTCTAAAACGGAAACCTGTCCCGCTACCCTCATGGAACAAAAGTAAAACCTTCCTGGCTCCCCTCAGCCCTTAACTTGGCATTCAAAGCCCTTAGGACCTATCCCCTGCCTGCCCAGCCTCCAGGGTTAACCTGGGTGGGTGGGCGAGGGGTAGCAGCAGGTGTGGCTTTTAAAGGCCGCTATGAGGACAACAAGGAGGCAGGTAAGGAGGCAGGAGTCCAGGTGGGCCAGTGCCCATGGGCACTGGGAACCGGCAGTGGGCCTGCACGTGGGTGAGGAGCCAGATCCAGACACAGTCCTGGTTGTGGCTGGGACCAGTGATACCATAGATGGCTGGAGATGCCCTTTACAGCAAGGGGAAGGTGGAGGGGGATTCGGTTTGGGGGCTATGGGCAGGAAGCAGTGTTCTACTTCTATCAGACTTGGGGGAGATGTCAAGGAGGCAGGCGATCTTTGAGTCTCAAGCCAGAGGATGAGAAAGGGTTGGAGACAGCCATGGGACATGGCCATGATGCAGATGGGAGTCAAAATCTGGGAGGGGATGGGTCACGCCAGGAGAGTTCAGAGAGAGAAGGGGGACAGAATGCCAGAACAGACCAAATATTTTGAGCTTTAGGGCATTTGTGCTTTCATTCATGCTGTCCCTTCTACTGCAGAGCTCCCCTCCCCAGGCTGGAATTCTGTTACCCTTCATGGCCCTGCTCAAAGGCCATCTCTTCCAGGAAGTCCTCCAAGTGCCTCCTCCCCAGTGGGGACAAACTCTACCTACTCTACACTCCTGTAGGCTTTGGCCTCTGTCTTCATCCTCTGACATACTTTGATGTCCTGAGTTACAGGCAGGGGTCTGTGTCTCCCTCACCCCCCACCCAGGGCCATGTCTGAGCAGCAATGGGGACCCAGTGGACAGCCCAGAAAAAGCCCTGGTGAAAGTTCATGGAACTCAGGGAAGACAACTCCAGGACAGGCAGCACACCCCCACCTGCCTCGAGCCCCTCACCTTGTTGTTGGCCAGGTACAGGTAATTGAGGTTGTTCAGATGTTCAAATGCCTCCTCTGGGAGCCCTTCAAAGGACAGGCATCAGTCAGAGCCCTGGATGAGGGGGACGCTACGAGGGAGCACAGTGAGCACCCACCCCACTTCAGGACAGGGGAGGCGGAGGCAGCTCGGATCCCTTCCCAGTTGGTCCCAAGGTGCCTGCCCAACCCCATTTTTGTCCTCCTTGCTCATCATACAAGCCCAAGCTCAGAGGAACAAGCAGTTAAGTGTCTGCTGAGGGACTGAATGATTCCTCACCCTGAGTGGGGATGATCCTCGTAAGGGCAAGCCACCAGCAGAGGACCCAGCCTCAGCCCTTCCTGCCAGGAAGGGGTCCTCCCCTCAGGGACAGCCCCAGAGGGCTCAGAGCCCCTTTTCAGCTTGGGCAGGTGGGGCTGTGCTAGGAATGGCTGCATGCAGGGCAGAGCTGTGGCCTCCGCCACCTGGCTCACCCTGCCCCATCTGGCAGATGCAGCGTCAGGACTGGGCTGTTACTGGGAGCCTGGCCAGGCTGGCCTTTCTCCAGCCCTGAGGCTGGCCTCTGACTCTCGGTTCCGGGCTCCAAGACCCCCAGACGCTGGGCCTCACCCAAGTATCTAACAAGAGGGAACAGTTACATAAACTGTCCAGCGTCCCTCCACGGAATACCCTGCTGCCGCTGTGTGAAATGATGGGCAGAGTTTTCGGCAACATGAGAAGTGCTTCTGAACTACTTGCTGGGGTTAAAGTATCTATAATGTGGGTTCAGCTTTGGGTTTAATAACACACAGGAAAAAAGACTGGATTGGATTGTGGTGATAGCTGCACAATTGCATAAACTTACTAAAACTCATAAAATTATGCCTTAATATTAGGTAAATTTTATGGCATATAAATTATATCTCAAGAAAGCTGCTTTTTTTTGTTTGTTTGTTTGAGACAGAGTCTTGCTTTGTTGCCCAGGCTAGAGTGAGTGCCGTGGCGTCGGCCTAGCTCACAGCAACCTCAAACTCCTGGGCTCAAGGGATCCTCCTGCCTCAGCCTACCAAGTAGCTGGGACTATAGGCATGCACCACCATGCCCAGCTAATATTTTCTATATATTTTTAGTTGTCCAGCTAATTTCTTTCTATTTTTAGTAGAGACGGGGTCTCGCTCTTGCTCAGGCTGGTCTCGAACTCCTGACCTCGAGCGATCCTCCCACCTCGGCCTCCCGGAGTGCTAGGATTACAGGCGTGAGCCAGCGCCCAGCCAAAAGCTGCTTTTTTAAAAATGGAAAGAAATATACCAAAATATCAATAGTGATTAATTCCAAGTGGCAGAATCATGAGTGGTTTTCTCTTTCCATTGTATTTTCCTAATTTTCTATCCTAATCATATATTATTTTCATCATCAGGAAAAAAAAAACTTTAAAATTTAAGGACTCTACAACTCTTCGATTCTAAAGCCCTCTGAATTGAAGGTCCTACGACAAAGTCCTAGGAAGCTAAGCTTCCCTGAAGCATCTGCCCTGCCCTGTCTCCCAGGTCCCAGATACACCCAGAATGGCTTTTAGGCAACAACAGGGAGCCCCTTGCCCGTGTGGAGCTGGTCGTCATGCAGCCCCCTGTCAGCCGGCCCAGGCCTACTCTTTCCACACCCCGGATGTGCAGGGCCAAACTCTCCCCATGGGCACCCAGTGCTACCCAGGCCCTTGAGTCCTGCCTGGTGTCCCTGATCCTGGGCTCTGGGTGACCTCTCACCTCGGGAAGTCAGGCGGTTGTTCTGGAGGTTCAGCGTCTCCAGCCGGTGCAGCCGAGAGAGCTCCTCGGGGTAGATTTTCTCCAGCTGGTTGTTCTGGAGGGTGGGGCACAGGAGGAGGCAGCATGAGCCTGGGGGTGCCCAGGGCTCCAGCCCCTGCCCTTAGCTTCACTCCTAGGAGCCAGTCCCTGGGTTGGGCCCCTCCCTTGGGATTCTCTCCCATGGCAGACAGAACCTGGTCCAGGCCTGGACATGGGCACACAGACGTATGAGTCCTGCCTTCAAGGAGCCTACACGTGGACATCCACGGGCAGTTCTAACGTGACATGCTGTCTGCCTCCAGACCTGCTCCGAGTGTTCCCACTTGGTGACAGGCAGCCATGGCTGTTATCCAAGCCAGAAACCACTTTTGCTTCCCTTTCTTAGCCCTGCAGTCTCCACTGTCCTTGGAATGCTTTAAAAACTAGGCAGGTACCACCTCCTCCAGAAGCCTTCCTGGGATGGACTGGGGCTGGACTAGGAACCTGCACTGGGCCCCCTAACACAAGTCCTTCCGTTTCTATCTGACATCGCTACTTGTTTAGGTCTCTGCCTCACCCACAGGCCACGAGCACCTGAAAGGCAGGATGTATTCAAGTCTTCCCTGTGTGCCCAGCACCCAGCATGGGACCAGAGGCACGGAGCAGGTACCCAAGAGACAGTTTGTGTATGAATGAATGAGCAGATGAACCAACGGTAAGAGCTGTCCTCAATGTGTCCCCTTCCCTCATTGGCTACCCTGGCCTTGGGCTCCCACAGCTGCCATCCCAGACCCACCAAAGTGTGGCCACAGGCTGGTCACTTTCCCTCACTGGACTGATCTCCTCTGGAAGTGGGTGTGGCAGCCCCTCTCTCTCCCTCAGGGCCAGTGGGCCACACGAGGATACGATGGTTACACCTGCGCTCCCAGAGTCCTCCCAGTCTAAAATACCGTGTCCCACTTCTCAAGGTTCCAAAATCTAGTCTGCCCTCAGCTGGAGAGAGCTCTCTGTCCTCTGAGGCCCCGGAGTATTCCATTTGGGGTCTGCCTTGCTCTGATTTTCCTGGCCCTGTAATGGTGTCTGTGGTGCCCTGTCCATTTAGAGGGTCAGCTGCGGGGCAGGTCTTTGTCCATTTTCAGACAGAGCCTGACTTTACTTGCCGGGCCTCAGCCCAGACTCCTGTAAGTGACAAAGCGTGTTGTGATATCATGGTGCTCTGTTTTGGGGACGTCAGGAGAGGTGCCACGTGGGTGGGTCCAGGACTCACCTGATGTCTGGTGAAATAGCAGCTTTGGAGCCAGCGGCCAGGGCTGCAATCTCGGCTCTGGCTCTTATCAGCTGTGGGACTTTGTAACCCTCTAAGCCTCTAAGTGTCACCTCCCTAGCACCCTGTATCTGGGGGTGGGAGCCACAAGTGCTGGAGGTTCTGGGTGCATAGGATGCTGAGTGCTGGGGGTTCTGGATAAGAGCCACACGTGCAGGAGGGGGCAGCCTCTGGTGACCTCACCTGCAGAGACAGGTGGTTGGTGTGCTCAGGCAGGTCCCCTGGGAACTCACGCAGGTCAATGCCGCCACAGTCCACAACACCCTCCTGGGAACAGGCACAGTCTCGGGGGCAGTCAACTGTGGCTGGGCCAGGCGCTGGCTCCTCAGGGCTCAGGACCAGCACCGGCTCCTCCTCCACAAATTCATTCTCTTCAGGGCTCAGGCTATGGCCGCCACTTCGGCTAAACAGCGGGGCCCTCACTGCAAGCACAGGTCCTAGGTGCAGCTGTGGCGGCAACAGCAGCAGGAACAGCAGCGCCCTGCTCCGGGCCATGGTGCCTGCAGGAGGGGCCGAGTCAGACCCACCTTGGCACCAGGGCTGCCTTAACCTGTTAGGTACAGTGGGCACACAGCTAGGACCCTCAAAAGTCATGATGGGGCCCTCCCAGGCATGAAGCAGTGCCCACTCTGGGCCCTGTCCTCAGCACCCAGCTGATCTGACTGCCGTCCTCCCCACCCCAACCCCCAACAGGCTGCCCTCTGGAGGGGTGGGGGTGAGGTGAAGCCCTATCCTTAGCAGGTCTGCAAAACCTTCTGCAACCTGCGCCAGGCCTAGCCCTAAGGAATCTGCACCCCTGTTTCACAGAAGGGGAGCTAAGGTACAACCTGGACTTTGCTGAGTTCTTGCTACCCTGGCACAGGCGGTGCTGGGAGCTCGTCCCTCTCCCAGCAGCCATGGGCCATGGCGAGCCAGCACCAGCAGGGTGCATCCCAGCTCTTCAGCTTGCCGTTCTCGAACCTTCAGGACTCGGCCCTGCCTCTCTTCCAACTCCCACATCAGCTGCCCCCAGTTATGTTATACGAACTATTTCATAGTTCCTCCACATGCATAGTTCCTTGCACATGCTATTCCTTTTGCCTGGAATGCCCATCCCTTCTCTTGCGCAATCAGCAACTTCTTTTCCAGGAACCAACTCCAGTTTGATCACTGGGGAGGGGGATGCCCAGGGCTGTCCATTACTGTGTTCCCCCAGGGCTTAGCACTAGTGGCACTGGGCTGCAAATAGTGAAGGTGTCTTTTTCCCACACAGGTCTGTGCACAGCTCTGTGTGTCTGGGTATCGGCCAAGCCCAGAGCCTGGCACAGTGCATGGAGCTGCTGCTGCCTACATGGACTCCCAGTTTCCATTCCTGATGTTTATGCCCCCAGCCGCCTTAACCAGGGCCTGATGTGCTCACGTGGCCACTGCGCCTGCAGGAGACCACTCCCCAGCATGGTCCCCTGGTGCATCAGGGAGAGGGGTGCAGGGGATGACATCAGGCCCACTGAGGAAGATGCTGGGTGCCACTGTCCCAGCAGTCCCCTGGGCCTGGGCTCAAGGCTGGTCTCTGAGTTCCCCTCACAAGGACTCACTTAGACAACATCTCCGGGATGTGTAAATTGTGACAGGTGGTAGCTCAGGGATGATGACTCTGAAGTCCCACAGACCCCAGTTCGAGTCCCACCTCCACCATGTAGCACCACCTCGCTGAGCCTCAGTTTCCTTGTATGTACAATGCAGATAAACATCTACACTCACAGCCTCTGTGAGGAGTAAGATAAGAGATGCAAAGCACCTGGCACCCATGAGGTGGTGAGGAGCTACCGTCACTGCTGTAGGACTACACACAGCGCCGTGCCCCATTGAGAGAGCAGGAGGTGCAGCAGCAAGTGTCCAGCCGGCGCTGGGGGGCGTCCACTCCTGAGCTGAGCAGCCACGAGCACATGGATCATGCGGAGCCTCTCTCCCTGCCACCAGATCAGGGGCCACAACCCGTAGCGCAGTCAGAAGGGTCTGACGAGATGCTGGGCCTGGGAGGGTTTGGTAAACTGGGGGCCTCACACTGATGCTGATGTCTGGTGAAATAGCAGCTCTGAAGCCAGCGGCCAGGGCTGCGATCTCGGCTCTGGCTCTCATCAGCTGCGGGACTCTGTAACCCTCTAAGCCTCAGCTTTCTCACCTGTCCTTGGGGATGATAGAAGAACTGTCCTCATGGGGAGATTGTGAGGAATCAGTGAGATGCATATACTGTACACAGTAAGTGCTCAGTAAACACTGGCTCTTCCTGCGCTAATCACCTGCTCCGTGGGCATGGCCCGCACCCGCTCACACGGTTGCCTGTTCCAGCATCCCCTGCTTCTTCCCCTTCCCTTGTCTAGACCCCACCTGGGCTTTTGGGCCCTGGCCCAGATCCACCTCCTTCCAGAAGATGCTGCAGACGCTCTAGCCATCTATGAATTCCTGTGGCTGCCGTGGTATTTCACGTGGCTTAGCTAACTCTCTGAGGTGAGACCCCCATCTGCACCTGCCCTGTGCTGGGGACTGGGGACACAGGTGAGGTGGATAAGGTCCCTGCCCACCCAGAGGGACCCCAAGGGGCACAAGGCCCCAGAGGGAAGAGGTGTGAGGAGGGAGGAAAAGTGGTTTCCAGGTTTATTGACTCTGTGGGTCCCCATGGACTATGCAGACTCAAGCCTGGCAGATCACCAGGGAGCCCAGCACACACACAGCTCCTCGGCTCCAGGGATCAGTTGGCAGCAACGAGTGATACCCACAACAGCCTGGTCCTATGCTCGCCCTGCCACACCCCTGCAGCCCCTGTGCCCTGAGCAAACTCCAGTCCAGTCTCCAGACCATCATTCCCAGGGCACATTATAAACCCCACAGCTAGCTCAACAGTCTTGCAGTTCCTGGAGCTGCCAGAGTTAGACTAGAGCAAGCCTCCCACCTCCTTGCCCGTGTGACCCCACTGCAGACCTGGGTTCTGAGAGGGGGAGTGTGGGCACAGACCCAGGCCCCAAATTCAACTAGGGCAGGAGGCCAGGGAGAAAGATCCAGGGGAAGGAGCACTGTTTCCCACATGTCCTATGCACTCATTGGACAGGCTGTTTCTGCCTCCTTCACCTTCAGTTTTGTATCTGTAAAACTCTGTAAAATGTATTCATAAAAATATTTAATTCATATTAACATACTGAACCATATTGAAAATTTTATCATCACTTTACAGACTAGGGAGCAAGGCCCATCGGGATCAGGCAATGTAACAGCTGTTAAGTGACAAAACTGAGCTCCCAGCCCAGGTCTTAACCAACGCTATGCTGCTCTCCCTGGGGCCAAGCAGTGGGTGCTGGGGACCCAGACAGAAGACTCAGACATGGCTTCTGCCCGTCAGAGGCTCACAGCTGCACTGTTCACTCCAGTAGCCACTCGCCACATGTGGCTATCGAACACGTGAAATGTGGCTAGTCCAAAGTAGAGATGTATGTGTAAAAGGTAGTGTACATGGATTTCAAAGACATGATACAAAAAAGAATGTAAAATACCTCATTAATATTAATGATAGCTCATAAAATATCTCATTTATTGTTATATTGATTACATGATATTTTGGATATATTAGATTAAATAAAATTATTTTTACCAGCTTCACTTTACTTCTTGTAATGTGGCCTCTAGAAAATTCCACATTGCATATGTGGTGTGCATTTGTGGCTCACATTATATTTCTGTCGGACAGTGAGGGTCTAGAGCGTTGTGTGTAAACTGAGTATTATAATCCCAGTGTCATCAGAGGTGTGATGGGGGAAGCTTAGACTCCACAGGGGCCCAGAGGAAGCCTAACCTTCGTGGGGCCAGAGAAGGCTTCCCAGAAGTGACACCTGATCTGGCCATTCTGAAGGGTGAGTACCAGGCAAAGGGAAAGGGCCGCAAGCAAGGGGTTGGTGCATGCAAGGCCCTGGGAGCGAGAGAGGCCACGCTCATGAGGCTGTCTGGTGGGGATGGGGACTGGGAGTGAAACAAGTGGGCATAGTGGCCACAAGCCCAGAACAAGAAGGAGGGACCTTCTTGAGAGTGTGAACCTTATCTTTGGAAGATGACGACCGCTGAAGAACAGGAGTCTGGCATGGCAGGTCTGAGGGTGGCACGGACATGGGCCAAGGAGCCTGGTCCTGGCAGAGAGGGAGGTGCTGGATTGAAGGGAGAAGTAGGAAGAGCTAATCGGGGCGGCCACCCTTAGGACCGTGGAATCCTGGACAGCTCCAACTCTACCCCTGGTTTGCTGTGTGATTTTGGCCACACTGCTGACTCATCTGAGTCTCAACTTTAAATACTTGTTCTTCTGAGTAAGATAAACAAGCCCCCATGGCCTCCTCTGTGTATCCAGCCCTGTGGGAGGGCTGTGGGGAAGGACAGAGAAGAGACCAGACCCTGGGCTCCAGAAGCTTCATGTCTGCCTGGGGAGGAACAACTCAAACCCCTGGGACAGAGGACCAGGTCGGTCTGCAGGGAGCTCTTCCTCATACACAGAGCTTTAGAGATGAAAGGACACGAGTTCCAATCAAGACTGCTGTGTGAGCCTGGACAAGTCACTTCACTGCTCTGAGCCTCTATTCACTAGTCTAGGAAGTGGAGCTGGGAGCTCCTCATGAGGATGAAACAAAATGACGGGACCAGCTGATGCTGGCATCAAGTAGGGGCAACATACACAGGGTTACTGTTACTGAGGAAGGAAGTGGGACCTGCTATCTTCCCCCATATATCCTCCTGGGGAAGCAAACCTCAAGGCCCAAAGTGGGGGATTAAGGTAGGACTAGAAGAACGAAGGGGAGGGGAGACCCAAATCAGGAGGCAGATCCTTAGGCCCCAGCACCACCTTCCTCCTCCACTCAGATCTAGTCGAAATCCACTGATCACCTGCTCTGTGCTGGGCCCCATGCAGCTGCACTTTGTTGACTCTAATAGCAATCCCAGGACTAAAAGTTCCTCTTCCTAATTTGTAGGCTCAGAACTCGAGCACACAGGGCTCCCCTTGCTGCCATTCCCAGAAAACTCCCACTCACATGCCCCTGCTCTGGGAAGCCTCTCCTGTCCCCTCGGCTGGGTTAGGGTGTTCCTAGGTGCTCCCACTGCAACCCAGGCATGGAGTGGGTGCTCAGGAAATGTTTGCTGAATGAATGAGTTTTGCAAGGCAAAGCTGGAAAAGATCTGCATTATTGTCTGCTCTGACTCCCTCAGTTTACAGGTTAGTATGTTAAAGGCAAAGCCAAGAGTAAAATTTGTGTCTTCTGCCTCCTTTCCCGAGCCTTGAGTTGGTCTGAAGGCTCAGTGGGAGTTCTCCAAGTGAACAAAGCAGGAGGAACTGCACTCCAGGCAGAGGGAAGGGCACCAGCAAAGGCAGGTATGGGGATGGGGGAAGAGGCAAGCGGTGTAAGGAAGGGTAAACAAGGTCTGGAGGTGGGGCTGGAGACCTAGGTTGCCAAGGGCACTGGCCACTATGCAAAATTGTTGGTGACAGGAGCCATCAAGGGTTCCAAGCAAGTCATGGGCAGCACCCTTACATATGACTCTATCAGGCCTGAAAGTGCCACCATTAGTAACATCCTCCCCAAGAAACAGAAGAGACAAAGCATGCTCCCATAGATGACATGAACACAGGTGATTCTGACACTTCTTAACTTGCACTCTAGACTAGAGTAGATGGGCCCTGGGCCCTAAGAGTGGACATAGGGGGCAGAACCTCCAGACCAGTCGCCGGTCTTTCCCAGGGCAGTGCACAGCCTACCTGCAGCATTGTGAGCCGGGGGATCTGGCTGGTCCCTCCTGCCTCACCCCTCCTTCCCAGTGTGGAAGGTTTCTATACGAGGTAGGGATAGGGCACAGAACCACCCAAGGGCTCTCCCGGTTCCCACCAGCGGGGCCTCTTGGAGCGGGGCAGACCACAGCTTCCTCTTCCCCGGCCGGCCTGAAGTGGAAGGGCCGACTTCGACGCTAAGTTTGCGTGGGCCTCCACAGGTCCGTAATTCACTCCCAGCGCTGGGCGCGCATCCCTCTGCGCCTCCCGCCTAGGGACTGTCAGCTCTGCAGGCACCCAGGCCAGGGTGCAGGGAGCCCCTTGCTGCCGCTACCTCCTAGCCCCTGCCCCTGCCCCGGAGGCTTCCAGGAGCTAGCCACCTCCTCTTCCACCTGACGGCGCGTCAGGTATTCCAATGCCACAATCTCACTCCCCGCCCCAGGCCGGGCTGGAGGTTCAGGGACCTGCAAGCTGGGGCTTCCGCTACATCAGCAGAAGGGCGCGGACCCCCATTCCCACCCCTCCTCAGTCTAGCTGTCCCGGCTGGGAAGCAGCGGCGTACAGACTCTCCAGGCCGCCAGCTTTAGCTCAGAGAGTGCGCGGAGCTAAGCTGGGGCGGCACAGCGGCTGGTAAAGCCGAGCCCCGGAGCGCTTCCTGCGGCTGACGCGCCCTGCAGGCAGATCTCTGCCCTTCTCTGGGCCTCAGTTTCTCTATCTGTAAAGAGGTCGGAGGGTGGTCTCGCTAGGGCCCCTGATGAGTTGACGTAGAAAGACTGGGGGATAATCTGTGCCCGGGCTCTAAGCACAGGGTCCACGCCCCTCCCCAGTTCCACCTGCCCCCCACATTCCCTGTCGCCCGCCCGCGTCCTTCCACTCCCCCGCATCCGCCCTCAGATTCTTTCCAGATGTGCGCGGCGGGAGGGGCCCGGGGACTGGGACCAGCCTCTGGCTAGAAAGGAGAAAAGGCCCCTGCCTGGGTCCTGACTGCGCAGGGGTCGCACCCGGGAGGGAGACATCTCCCGCGTGTCCTCCGTGCAGGGTCAGACGGAGGGGGCGAGATGCGGCGGCCCCGCTCCGGACAGCAGCTAGGGCCGTCCGGGAAGCCCGAGAAGTCTGAGTCCTCTGCCCAGGCTCGGGCCCAGCCCCTCGGCCCACCCCGACCGCCTGCGCCCTGTACCTGCTGCGCCCCGCGCCGTGCCGCGCCCCGCCGGCCGAACGCTCCTCCCCGAGAGTCGGCTGCGCTCGGCGGGCTCGGGCTCCTTCCATTCAAGTCGAGCTGTGCGCTCCGCTACGCAAGTTTTGTTGTGAGTTTTCTCCACCCCGCCTTTCCCCCGCCCCCTGCCCCCCACCGCGTGCATCTGCTGGACGCCGGCCTCCTCCGGACACAGGCGTAGGGCACCCCAGGCGCGGGGCGCGGGCGGTGGGGGCGAAGGCCTGCCCCCTCCCCGCGCTGGACTTGGCCGGGCCCCACTTCCCCGGGAGGCAGAGCCGCCGCACCGACCCCTCTCAGCCCGGGCGGGGCCCGCCGCGCCACGCCCCCCCCAGTCCGCAACGCTTCCTAGTTCCCAGCCTTCCGCACTGGAACTGGACCCCCTTTAGGCCCCAGCACCTGAAAGGAGGGCCGGGGAAAGGGCCCCTTCAACCCGGTGCCTCTGAGCTCAGTTTCTTCCTCAAGACGAGGATTTTGCAACCGCTCCAGGCACGAGTACCTTTCCCTTCGCTCTCCCACCCTGGGGTCCTGGGCAGTGGCTGACAGGGCCGCCAGCCAAGACCCTGCTGGGCCTCTTCCCGGAAAAGTTCCCCTCTCGCCACCCCACCCTCTGCCCCCACCCCTGTTGGCCCTGGGCCCAAGGCCTGGTGAGCCTTGAAGGTACCATCCTCCCAGCTGGGAGTCGGGTGCATGCGGATCCCGGTCGCAGGGAGACAAGGGGGGTGAACAGTGAGCCCTCACGGCACCATATTGCTCCCAGGAGCTGAAAACGTTTCCAAGTAAGGAAGCATTAACTACCAGCAGCTGAAGCAATACTGTTTGGCGCCAGGGGCTTCGGCGGTGGAACAGGCTTTGGGGCTGGGTTTGGGTGGTACTTAGCACGTCCTCTGTGTAATGAGCCTCTCCCCCATTACCTGCTCTGGCCTGTGGGCAGGACACCCACAGCTGCCTCACCTGGCTTCCCTTCTGCTGCAGAGGGAGAAGGATAAATCAAACGTGGGGCCACTTGCTCACCCGAAATTGCCAGGGCCCTGGCTGAATGAATGGCCCCTGTGAAGCAGCTCCAGACCTTGCACCCACTGCTGCTGCCATGGCATCCTGATCATACTACATGCTTACTCTAACTTCACCACCCTGCAAAGGAAGAACTGCTGCTGACCCAGCTTGCAGGCAAGGAGATGGCCTCGGACAGGATAAGTGACTGAGTAAAATGGCCATTAACTGGCAAAGCTGGGGTTTGAACTCAGGTTTACCCTTCTCCTCAGCCCAAGTTCTGTCCATGATGGAAACAGGCAGGTCACGTGAGCATGCAAGTGTAGTGCCTGGATTTGAATCCAGAACTGTTTCCATTACACCAGTAACTAAAGAACTTAGCAAGAATGGGAAGAAGAAATATTTTGCCTTCTTTGGCCTCAAATTCCAGTCCTCTCTGATCTCAAACTTATGAGATTTGGTATGATTCACAGGATTGGACAGGGGCCAACAGAGATGCATCTCGTGTCTTCTCCTAACATTAAGCCTAGATTCAAGTGGAGCTAAAAGAACAGGATTCTACTGGCTTCAATACCCATGAACTAAAAACCTTCTAGGACAATGAGAACCAGCACATACTGAGTGCCTACTAAGTGCCAGGCACCATCCTAAATTCTTAAATATCTTAATCCCTTCAACATTGTGGGGAGGGTATTATCTGCACCTATAACTGCTAGGCCCAGGGTGTTTTAGGAGTCAGCCACATGGCACAGCACACACCCAGTCCCCATGCCTCTCAGAGATATAGGCTTTCCTGTTGAATGTCGAACCAGTGCCCACATGTGCTTTGTGGCTGTTCGGTGCTGTAGACACAAGCTGCCTCATTTGTCTAGTAGAGGCTAGTAATCACTTTCAGTGTCTCTGGTGGAAAAATGGAGGCAATCTTGGCACTCTAGAAGCAAATCCTCTAACTTTCAGAAGGGCTGTAGAAACAGAGTTGAGTTTGAAATTTAGGTTTCCTCGATCTACTTGTGCTGCAACTCCTCCAGGCTGCCCCTCCATTTCAGCTCCTGTTTAATGTTACTGTACATGATGTCCAGTACAAGCTTGGAACTCAGACCTGGGTTCAAATCTTAGCTGGGTTCAAACGAATATAAAAATAGTACCTACACCTGACAGAATGACTAAATTAAATGGGAAAATGCAAGTATAGGACTCTGCACAGTACCTGACACATGGTAAGTACTCAATAAATGGCAGCTATTATTATTACAAAACTTGACCAACTATCCAGGAAACGTTATTAAAATAGAAATGACAAGTGGCAAGAATTAAGCAGAAACCTCTGCATTGCCCAGGACAAGTGTCTTCTAATCCAAAACAATAAGAAACAAGAACACTCAAAAGAGGAGTGAAGAGAGACATACGTGTGGCTAGAGAGAGCTAGGAGTGAAGAACAAGAAGGCTCTCAAGGGGGTCTGATGATGAAAAGGGGGAGAAAGGGAACAACGAGCTGCTGTTATCCATCATCAGAGAAGAAAATAATTCCTCTTACCTTGAGCTGAGGGCTCAAGACATTTCCTTAGTTAGTAGTAGAGTCCCAAATACTGAGCTATGGCAGCAGCTTGATTTTCTGGACATTTAAGGATTCAAATTGCATGGTGTTGCTTGGGGTATATGGATTCCATCTGAAGGATCTTGATAAAAGACAAGACTCATCAAGGAACAAGCAGGGAATGATGAAAAATCACAGGCCAAGTCAGGTACACACAAAGTCTTTTGAATTCCTATAACATCTCATAAAACTCTTTATTATTGGATTTTTCTGGCTGTATTATATTTTTCATCTCTTTCCCCCACTGGATTGTGAGCCATCCAGGGCAGGAATCTCCACTCATGTTCTATAAGGTCCCCTTTCTAGCCCTTTACAAAATAACATCATTGTGATAGGCAGAATGACCCCCAAGATATACACACCTTCATCCCTAGAACCTGCGAATATATTACATGGCAAAAGGGACTTTGCAGATATAATTAAGCTTATGGACCTTAAAATGGGGAGTTTATCCTGGATTATCTGGGTGGGCTCAATCTAATCATACGAGCTCTTAAAAACAGAGAACCTTCTCTGGCTGGAGGCAGGAGAGATGATGTAGAAGGAGAGGTACAGAGATTTGAAATGTGAGGACTCAGATAGCTTTGAAGATGAAGCGGGCTGTGAACTAGGGAATGAGGCAGCCTCTAGAAGCTGAAATGCCCCCAGGCCACCAGGAAGGATCATAGGAGACTTCAGTCCTAGAGCAGAAACCGAATTCTGCCAGCATCTTAAATGAGCATGGAAGCTGGGCCATCTTCTCCCCTAGGGCCTCCAGTTAGGAGCTCAGGGCAGCAACACTTTGACTGCAGGCTTGTGAGACCCAGAGCAAAGAAACCAGTCAAACCTAACGAGACTTCTAAGCTACAGAACTGTGAGGTAATAAATTTGCATGTGTTAAACCACTAGGTTTGTGGTAATTTGTTTTGGCAGCAATAGAAAACTAAAACAAACATTAATAACTACAACTGGTACAGCATTTTCCCACACACTATTTCACTTGATCTTCACAGCAAGCATGATGGTATTATTGCCCCCTTACTTACGAAACTGATGCTTGTACATCACTTGCTCAGGTGACCCGCCTAATGCATGCTTGAGTCAGAATTCAGACCCAGGTTTTCGGCTTCCAATCGCAGTAAGAGTTGTCTCCTACACTACAACTAGCTTAGCATTCCATAGCTCGAGGATTCTATTACCTTAAGCTAGATAAAAATGGATGGAAAAAAAAAACAAAAAAACCTAAAAAAAACTCAGGTTGCTTTCACACTATGAAAACTTGAAAGCTTTTGAATACTTATTTCCTTTGAATACTGTTTCTTCCAAAAGTATGCCATGTTTCTTCCAAAGTAAGTTAGGAGCAAGTCAGAGTAAGAACAAGTACGCAAAAAGATATCAAATCTTCTTTCTGGCATGTAGAAGAAAAAAAGATTCTGATCAATTGGCAAAAGGAGAAATCCTGATGGCTCACACCTGTAATCCTAGCACTCTGGGAGGCCAAGGTGGGTGGATTGTTTGAGCTCAGGAGTTTGAGAACAGCCTGAGCAAGAGTGAGACCCCGTCTCTACTAAAAAAATAGAAAGAAATTAGCTGGACAACTAAAAAAAAATATATATATAGAAAAAATTAGCCGGGCATGGTGGCACATGTCTGTAATCCAGCTACTTGGGAGGCTGAGGCAGAAGGATTGCTTGAGCCCAGAAGTTTGAGGTTGCTGTGAGCTAGGCTGACGCCACGGCACTCTAGCCCAGGCAACAGAGTGACACTCTGTCTCAAAAAAAAAAAAAAAAAAGAAATCCTCAAGAGTGACTATCAATGAAATACCACTTTCTCCCATTTAGATAATCTTTCAGCCACTATTAAGGTATATCTCCCACAATGAAATGCCCTCTGTTTTTGCCATCTCTGTAGTTGGAGCTTCCAGTCCACTCATGACCAATTTTAACTGTCAGGAAGTTCAACTGATATTCAGTTCAAAATTTCCCTTTCTATATTTCTTCCTCTTCTAATAACTAACCAAAATTATTTCCCCCACACCACCACCACCACCTTTGGTCTTTCCATCTCTCAAGTATTTGTGAACTGATATCATACCCTGTCCTTGGGTATCATTTTGCCAAGCTTAAGGCTTCTTTCAGACTGCTTAAGTCAATCATTCTTATACTACTGTGTCTTCATGTTCAAAATTCTTTTCCATTTATTTCTACTTTAATGGAGTGTTTAATCTTGAACAGTGTTGTGCACACTACAGAAAGTGCCATATTCTAAATGGTGAATTATACAACAAATTGCAGAGAAAAAGAAAACTTATCATTGTTTGATAGTTGGTTAGAAAACTGTAGCACTTATTGCTTTTCTGCCTGCAATTTAAATAAAGAGCATACTATTATATAATCAGTTTCCCCCAGTTTTACATAAAAGTTTATGGCCACAAATTTAGAAATGAAAAGGTCAAGCACTTACTATATGCTGCTGAAAACAATACTGTGAC